TGGACCCAGAAGTCAGGTCTTTTGAATATACTTGGCAGTGGTCTGGTGATCAGTTTGGGAAAGGGAAACCTTTAGGGAACAGGTCTTTCCTGTAAGCTGAGAGGTGAGAAATTTGGATATGGTGTCACTACTCAGAGTTCTTATCGATATTTTAATGTTTTGAATTTATACATATCTACTTTTTCCCCAAGTTCATTCCCATCCAGTGTCTATTAGATACTTCCAAAAGTCTTTCAAGGAAAAGAACTTTTTTCTTTCAGCTTATAACACATTGCAACTAGGAGCATTTTTTCTTTGATAAAATTTTTTATCAGAGTAAAGCAGACACAGCACAAGAGACACAACTTAAGTTTACAGCTCACTGTCGTTTTTACAAATGTCACACTTTAATTTTTTAAAATAGCAACATCAAAGTATAATTTATATATTATAAAATATTTGTAATTTTTAGTAAATGTATACAGTTGTGCAACCATCACTCCACTCCTGCTTTAGAACAGTTCTTCCAACCCTACAAGTTTCCTTATTCTGATCAATTGTCAATCACAGCCCAGACCCTGGCAAACACTGATCTGCCTTCTGTCCCAGTCACTTCTCCAAAATGACACTGGCTTGAACCAGCAGTGCCAAGATAATTCTCCTGGTTCATCTTCCTTTGGCTTTCTCTTTCTGAAGGAAGATGGTCTGCCCATTTTCCCCAGTCTCATTCATTCAAAGAATTTCTCCTGCCTTCTCTATATGGCTCCATTTTTGCAGAATCAGTACTTGTGACAGCGTCAGGGGCATCCAGATCAGGACAAACCAGTGACAGAACCATGGAAGAACCCAAGGCCAACACAGATGTCAGAATGTGCTACAAATCCTTGGCTATATCCCTCAGAAGATGCTCATCTCATCAGAATGAGAGGTCTGGAAGTTCTTGTCCTATGAAAATGGTTGCATTAATAAATCTTGTTTTAAAACAACTATCCCCCCCGCCAAAGAAAAAAGAAAATCAAAGACCCTTTTCTCTCAATTCTGCTCAAGGCTGGCAGAATGTGAGTTTACCAACTCCAACTTGATCTTAACTTCTCTTCCTCAAGATAAGTGCAAAGAAACTCATGCTCAGTCCCATGTTTGGCAATTTTGAGAGGAGTCTAAAGGGAGAATTAATTATCAGCATCAGCTTAGCAGGGATCATTACGAGGGCTATGATCCAGGTTTTTTTTTTTTTTGTCAGAATTGGGGTTTGAACTCAGGGCCTCATGCTTGCTAGGCAGGCACTTTTACTGTTGGAGCCACTCTGCCAGCTTTTTGTTGTTTTTTTTTGGGGGGGTGTATTTTTGAGGTCTTGTGAACTATTTTCCAGGGCTGGCTTTGAACCACTATCCTCTTGATCTGTGCCTTCTGAGTGGCTAGGATTACAGACAAGAGCCATGGGCACCTGGCCCATTTCTTGATACTTTGATATCCAAATGAAAACCAAAAATTGTCTTTAACAGAAACAGGAGAGATTTACAGCCATAATGGGGAGGAGAAGTTTCACTTGCCAGAGAGGGGGAACAAAGCTTGTAACAGTGTCACCATTCTTGTGTCTTCCAGAAAGACAACAAAGGGCCTCTCAAACCCCCAGCTCTCCATTCCTATGGGCACGTTGATCTGGATGCCTTCATCTGCCCTTTTTCTGTCTAAAACTAACATTGATGATGAAGGAATGGAAGTGAGACCTTGAATAATGCTGCTTTGTACTCTTGGGTTTTCTGAGGTTCACCTTTCCTTGGGAACTTATAGTTACCTCTGCTACTTTCATTGAAATTCTACCCAACAGACTTAGGTAGTAGTGAAACCAAAGGAGGACCACAAAGGAAGAATTAAGAGAGGTGGATGGCCCCTGATTTATGATGGTATGACTTATGGGTTTTGACTATGTAATGATATGAATACAGTAAAAGCTATGTTCCCAAATTTAAATTTTAATTCTTTCCTAAGACAGTAATATGTGGTAAGATATTCTCTCACAATTCTGGGCAGTAGTAGTGAGACACAGTGTCTAGTCAACCACCTGACCCCAAGAGAAACAACCATGCTCCACAGTGTGTTCTGCTGCTAAGCTAAAATGTTTCATACATTAGAGGTATTAAATGCATTTTTTTCCCCTTTTTAAAAAGTGTTTTGGCATCTCTGGGGTTTAAAACCAGGGACTTGAACTTGCCGGGCAGGTGCTCCACCACTTGAGCTGTACTTTTTTGCTGTTTGTGTCCAGGCCAGCGTGGACCATGATCTTCCTAACTACACTTCCCACACAACTGAGATAACAGTTGGGCACCATCGTGCTCACCCTTTTTTGAAATAGGGTCTCCTTATGTAGCTCAGGCTGGCCTTGAACTTGCAATCTTCTGGCCTCAGCCTCCTGAGTGCTGAGATTGCAGGCGTGGAACACCATGTTCAGTTTAATGACATTTTCAACTAACAATGTGAACATAACTCCATTGTGAGTAGAGGGGCATCTCAAAGACGTACAAGAAAGACTCAAGTTACGTCTATGAAATTATTGGAGAAGGAAGCATGCTTCTGACATTGGCTGGCTGGCTCCATTTGTTGCCAGGTGCTCTGGGGGTGTTTTTTTGAGAAGATGTGGGTGTGCCAGGTTAAGATCAGGACAAAGTGCTTGTGTTCAAAATGCACAAAACAGAACCCTAGAAAAACTTGAGGCTTTGGCAATTCAACCGCATAGACTTGGCTACTGAAGGTGGAGCCAGGGAAAAGGAGTGAGGGCTCAGGGGGCATTGTTTTAACAAAAAAAATTCAGAGAAGGGAAGATTTTATTTTTCACTGTATAGTCTTTTAAACTATTTGGCTCATTTACCAAGCCCATTGCAACAAAAGAAATTATGAGTAAGTACCAAAATTTTGTGTACAGTTTTTGTTTGTTTGCTTTTAGGAGACAGGGTTTCACTATTGTGTTCAGACTGGTCTTGAACTCCTAGACTCAAGCAATCTTCCTGCCTCAGCTTCTCAAGTAGGTGTGCACCACCACAACTGGTTTGATGTATAGCTTTGAATGATTTATATTTTCTTTTTCCACTTAACTTCTGTAAGGTTAGATGCTTGACTTTTGTGGAGGACATCCCAACACAGAAGGGTCCGTATTCTCTGTCTTTTTCCTCATCCAATGGCTGACTAGCCATAGCTTTCCCTGAGTAGAGAATGAGGTAGGGCCATTAGCCGAATGCCAATCCCAAAATTGGGATTTGTCCACTGCAAGGTCTGAATGAATGTTCCGATGTGTTAAAGGCTTAGTCCCCAAGGTGGTGCTGTTGTGGATCGTTCAGAGGCAGGACCTAATAGAAAGTCCTTAGGTCATGGGGGGGAATGTCCCCCGAAGGGATTGGGAGATTTTGACCTTTCCTCTCTTGCTTTGTGCATTGATTACTTTTGCTTAGCTGTGACCAAAACACCTAACAGAAACAACTTAAGGAAAGATTTATTGGGGCTCACAGTTTCAGAGGGGTCAGTCCATCATGGTTGTGAGAACATGGCAGAGCAAAACATTTCATTTCATGGCAGCCAGGAAGTAGAAAAGGGAATACAGGAAGAGTCCAGGGTAAGATATAGGACACTACACACCCTTAATGACCTAATTCCTCCAACTAGGCCCCAGCTCCTACTTTTTATGCCTCCAAAGAATGGTCCATACTGTGAACCCATCAAGGGATTAATCCATTGATTAGGTCAGAGCCATCATGATCTCGGTGTCTCTGGAAACCCCAGCACAGACTCTCCCACAGGTGTGCTTTGCTCATTTCCTATTCCTAGGCATCTCTCAATGTGGTCAAGTTGACAGTCAGTATTAACCATCACATTCTGCTTCCTGCTCATGAAACACCACTACAATGCCCTGCCATTGCCAAAAGCCCAAAGCAAGGAGACCACTTCGTCTTGGACTGGAACCTCCAGAACAGTGAGCCAAAATATTTTTTTCTTTTTATAAGTTAATTGCCTTTGGTATTACATTATAGTAATGCATAGCTAACTAATACAGAAAAAAAAACTGTGGGAACAAGAACTAGGCTTTCATAGACTGGAGCAGAAGGATGCTGAGTGGCCTGGCTATCATAATTCTGCTGATCAGTCCATCATCTGAAGAAAGGAGGATAAATGAATGGGGCAGGATAGAACATAGAAATGGTCTTCCTCTGTGGCAGCCCTGAGGAAGTGGCATGAAATCAGGTGAGTCATTAAGTCATTTCATAAGTAAGAATATATGCTGGACACACTCCCAAATTTTGATAGGATGTCCCAACAGAAGTTTGAATCTGGTAAAGTGATGTGCTCCAAACCATTAACAGTAGACTTGCTGTAGACTAAGAACACCAAAAGCCACAGTTGTTCCTGTAACACCAGCAGCTACTCTATCCCCCAGCAAATGAGTCCAACGTGAGGCTGAAATTCAAACTATTTGACTTGGCAATGTAATAGTTTCCCCCAAAGAAGGAGTATTAAGGCTAAGGAATCTTTTGGTCAAATTCCATAGGGAATGCTTACTGATCATATCTTAACCACAGTGTTATCCAGGATTGTTTCACCATTGCAGAACTTAAGCTTTGGGGGCTTTGTTAGGTGGAAGAGGGTTATTTAATTATTCAAGGCTTTTTCAGGATTTCAAAATAGTTTTCCCTGGACACTTCATAACCCCCCACCTCATGCTTCCCCAGGGGATTTATGAAGTAGTGCCAGTTACTCCCCATTTGTCACTTACTACTTTTTTTCCCATCCCAAGCACTCAGCAGAAAACAGTGCAGGTGCTGGAAGATCCTGTCCCCACAAAGCTGTGGCCACTCTTTCCCCAGTGGTACTGACTGAACTTGAAGAAGACAGCAAGAAGAGAGCCTGATGGAGTTCAATGTCTTGAAGGTATCTGTCTCCTGTTTATGTGTAAAGAACATTGACTTCACAGAAGTTGTAGACCACCATCTACAACTGACTCACTTAAAAAAAAAACCCATTTACCAGAATGGTTTTATATTGCATTTATTGGCATTTGTCATTGAGGACAACATGGTTTCATTCTTTTTGTTCACTTCACTCCTACAGTTTACTTCTGTTGTGCACTAGAGCTGGTGCTGCCATTGCTCTGGCCATGCTAAGGCCTGCTGCCACTAGATCTGCAGAACGTTCCTGACAACTTCCACATAATGGCCATCTGGGGGTGGCTTCCTCTGACTCCCAGGCTGCAGGAACTTCTTAATCGTAGGAATGTTGCTGATTCTTGCTTTAAATGCCTGAAATAAGAAATAGTAAAATCAGAGCTTCTATAGCCACCATTACCTTTAGGGAAAATTAGAATCTTGCCTAAGAGGAGGGTGCTTGGAACTCTAACTTACACAGCCCAGAGTTTTGAATCTGAGTCAATCTCAGTGTGTTTGCTGGATATCCCTAACAAGGGTAAAAGCATTGCCAGGGTATTTTGTATGCATTAAATTGTCTTAATAAAAATTCATTGTCAAAAAATCAGGCAATGCATATAAAAAACTCTAAAATAGTCATATTCTCTGACTTGTCATTTCTCATTCTAGGAACTTATTATAAAGGAATAAGTAAGAGTATGAACAAAGAAGTAGCTGTAAGAATTATAACACAGTAAAAGACTGGAAAAAACATATGCTTCTAGAAAGGAAACTGCTTTCATAGATTTTGTCATATGTGAAAATTATATTCCTACAATGAATATAAATCAGAAATTTAAAATGATATTATGTAAAAAAGAAAGGGGAAGAGACGTTCCCTGTCTCTTTTTGCATAAATAGGAACCTTCCAAAGGACACACAGGAAACCAGTAAAAGTGATAGCAAGGACAGGCAGGGGGTAGGCAAAGGTGGAAATGGGGCTTCTCAGTTTATCTCATGTGGGCTCTGCTTTCTAAGAAACATACAATTCTATTGCTCGATGAAAACAGAATAACATTGTACAGAAGAATATTGTTGACATATAAATATGTTCATGATCATAGAAAAGAATGTTAAAAGCAGGTCCCCAAAATAATCAAACACTGTAATATTATTGGACATGGGTCACACACCAAGGGGAGACCGTGTCTGGGAGAGATAGGGAAAGGGAAGGAAACCAAAAACTTGAATGTAGCTGATGTGCCCATTGTAGACGAGCAAATATAGTAACCTTAAACTGGCCGAGGCCACAATGGGAAGGGGACTAGGAAGTAGTGAAGAGGTCTGGTAGAAATGAACCAATGTGGGTTGTAATGCACAAGTGCGTGGAAGCAACACTAGGAATCTCTCTGTATAGCTATCCTTATCTCAAACTAGCAAAAACACTATGTCTTTCCTATTATCTCTTATGTTTTCTCTTCAACAAAATCGGAGAACAAGCGGGCAGAAAAGGGGAGGTGGGGAGGTGAGGAGGGGGAAAGGGGGCAGTGGGGAGAGGTGGCCTAAACAATGTATACACATATGAATAGATATAGAAGCAATAAAAAAGTGGAAAAAATACTTAGTATAATCTCATTTGCAGAAAAATACAAAATGATAGGTAAGGAAGTCTCTTGCCAGTAGCATTTGACTGGTGGGATTGTAGGTCTCTTTTTCCTTTTCTTCTGCTTCAGAGAAAGTAGCTACATGAACTTGCATTTCTTTTATAATAAGGAAAGAATGCTATTGTTCAAGTAGAAAACCCGTTGGCTGTCTACTTGATAAAATGTTCCTAAGGAGTTGGAACAGAGGCCAGGGAAGATCTGGCAGGGGCAGAGCTCTGTGTGAGACAGATCAACAGTGCCTCCCAAGCAGGATCTCTGAGCTGTGGATGGACAGGGTGGGACCCACACCAGGGGAGCTACAAGTGGGCAGGGTCCTCAGGAATGGAGAGGGGAGCAACAAAGACAGACTTAGCCTTGCTTCAAGAATAAGTGCTCTGAGCACTAAAAGAAAAAGAAAAAAGGAAAGTATGGTATGCTCATTCTAGAAAACGAAGTATCTATTTTTCCTTCAAATAAAGATTTATTTCCAACAAATGCTATTGTGTAAGCAACAGAAAATAGCCAGAGGAGTGGAAGAATTTTAAAAGTCTTAAGTTTCCTTTGGGACTGACACAGAGGCACATTTTGTTTCAGTCTTTGTTCCTGCTGGTGTTTTCTTGGGCTTAGCTAATACACTACCGTCAGCAAAGGGAAGTCAGAAAGAATTGGAGCACTGAGTTCCTCCACCATTAAAATAGCTTCCAACAGTTGTATGTCTGCCCAGCTGAATTTGTTGCCAACGAGAAAATCGTCTCCATGTTCTTTCAAAATCTACAGAAAGGAAAAAAAAAACCAAAGAATATCAAATGGAAGTAAGATGATTTTGCCTGGCTAAACACTTACAAAAGCATAAGATGTTTTGTACTGATTTATAGCAGAACCCTTTTCTTCATAATTAGGATGAACCCAGCGCCTTCACACTGGCCATGTATCAGCACAGTCTCTTGGGAAATGTGCCAGTGATTATCAAGGCCCGTTGGCTAAGTGCTGAGGTCCTAATACTGGGTTCCTGTTACAGCCTTGGAGATGGTAAGTAAAGCGGTACCAAGCAGCATAGGGAGACACAGAAGCTACAATTAACTAGAGCCTAACTGCTGTACCACAAGTAGGAATGCAGCATAGCAGAAGACCAAAGAGAGTCAAGGCACATACAAACTAATTTCTCTTTATGCAGTGGGAAACAAATATTAAAAATATCTGGCAGGAGCAGTTTTGATAGCAGGTGCATTAAGTATAGGCTTACTCATAAAATAAGGAACAAGAGTAAATTTCGGTATCACATCTCTTCTTGTGGTACATGCAAGGGTAAAGACAAATGTCTAAAATCAGCAAATTATTGAGGGTCTCAGCTAAGTCAAAGAAAAAACACTTGATGGAATGTGCCACAGACACCAAACATATGGAATGTGATTCCTGGTAAGGGAAGCTCACAGCTAAAAATCACACGGCACATAAGGAAACCCAACTCATCCAGAAGACTCATGAAAAAGAAGACCTTGGGGGGTGGGGTTGGAGGCCTGGCTCAAGTGTGGAGTGCTTTCATGAAGCCCACAAAAAGAAAAGAATTTTGAGCCACAGGACCAAAAACAAGAATTAAGTATTTTTTTCTTTTCCTTTGTTTTTCTTTAATACAAGGTCTTGTCTCACTATATCGACCAGGTTGGCCTCCAATTCCCAATTCTCCTGCCTCAATCTCCCAAAAGCTCAGATAAGATTGAGTTCCTGCAGGGCTTAAAAATGTTTTTGAACGATTAAAAGAAAGGCATGTAGAAAAAAGACCACATATATTTGAAAAAGATACAAAAACATAAACATCAATATAATAAAAGCACAGTGGAGACTGGGATTGTAGCTCAGTGACAGAGTGCCTGCAAAGCATGCACGAGGTCCTGGGTTTGACCCCCAGCACCACAAAAGGAAAAAAAACCTCAATGGAGAAAAAGAAAAGGTATCAGCAATTTGACACTTACAAAGAAGAAGAGACTGAAATGTGAAAGAGACAAAGAAGACAGAATAAAACTTCAACATACAATCTAAGAGGAGCACAGGACAAATAGAATAGAAAAAAGCCATTTTCAATATTTGGTAAAGAATTTTCCAGAATGAAAAGTGTGTGTGTTAGGGGGGCGATCTTCAGACTGAAAACAACACCAAACAGATATATAAAAACAAATATAGAAGTAAATTTGGGACCTTATAGACAAAATGAGGCTTAAGAAATGAACTTACTAATTGCAATTAGTGAGGTTGGGTTTGGTCCTGATTTAATTAAGTTATTTTAAAATGCATTGGTAGGCATTAACACACTGCATACTACAACTCAAATAATCACATTGTTCATTTTAAATGGAAAATATTTTGAAAACTCTGTACATTGTTGTTAAGAACTTGCTTATCTAGAACTCTGAGGTATTGATAAAATTCTCATTATAGTTTCTTTTGGGATGAGTTATTATTTTTTGAGGCAAAGATTGAGGATATGCGACAGAATTCTTTTGTACACCAAACCCTTTATCTATGGAACCAGTGTTGACTAGTCTTCCTCATCATTTCTCATCCTGGTAAGGAAACTTACCAGATGTACTATGAGGACATTTATCACTAGTACTCACTGCAGAGTGAGTGTGGAATGACAGAAAAGTTGCAAGGTTAAGAGAGTTTGTCTTTTCATTGGGGACAACTATCCTCCAGTGATGCCTAAAAAGCATCCCCAATAGTTAATTCAAGTGGTGACACCTTGGCTTATTTGTTAAATCACAACAGAAATTGCAGTTGGTTTATTCTGATTCTGTTTGTTGGGGGCTCCATAATTTTACCTATCACTGGCTCTGGAATCCTTATTTTTTGATCCTTATGTTTTGATCCCAAAGCTTATCCTTATGTTTTGATCCCAAAGCTTAAACTCTACCACAGTCCATCTTTTTGTGACAGGAGATATAAAAATCCTGGATCCCTGTAGCCCACCTTTTCAAAGACTGGGAAGTAGCGGACTTTAGCTCTCTTCACGATGCAAGCATAGTTCTCCTCTTTGTCCTCAGGAGGTTGGAATGCAGCCAGTGCGATCATTAGCATCAGGTCCAGGGTGCCATCTGTGTACATGTCGATTCTGGAAAAGCACCGTCAGACTGTCACATGAGAGGAAATTTGAGTACAGGGCTTCCCCAGCTGCTGTACTGAATAAACGTGTTGGAGAAAATGATTTTTGATTGTCCCCACTACACTTCCACTCTCATGAAAAATTTCTTGAACCAGATCTCGCCAAGGGATATAGTAGGGTTTATGGAAATGTTTGTGGAATAAAAGGATGCGTGAAAAAATTAATGCATGCCTCTAAGTTGAAATACACCATAAACAAATGATGGAATTACTATAGCTTTAAAAACAGAACTTCATGAAGTTTGCTAAAAGTACAAAACTATTAGCACCAGAATTTCCTCAGTGATTTAAAGGAATTAGGTAACAGCTCAATCTTCCATAGACCTGGCAACTGAGAAGGAAAAGTTGAGAGTCCTGGTCAGGTCACACGAACAGCTCTGTTTCATTATCTTTAAAGTTCTCTTTTCATTGACACCTCTCAAAAGTCTGTTTTTTAAAAAGCTAATAATGGTAGATTCATTTCAATTATTCATTAACCAGTTGTTTCTTTCTGTTGTCTAGCTAGCTAGTTGTCTCTGTCAATGTGCTGTCGATTTAACTAATCATTTATTTAATGATCTCTTGTAGTCTTTGCCTTTCTTTGCTAACAGCATGCAAAAGAACAATATTGCCCTGGCTGAATTACAAATCATTTTTATTCCATGTCAGATTGTTACCTGGCCCACTTTCTTGTCTATTGCAGTTTATGTCTAACCTAAAGAAAAGAATGTTAATGATTTCATTTATAGCTTAGATCAATATCTTGAAAAAGGCTTTAGGGATTTTAAAAAAACAATGAAACTGTGTATCAAAACAATGAAAAATAGACTGCTTTTTCATGTTAATACTTATTTACCTTGTTACAGGAGGATTCTATTTACAAACTGTGAAATTGCTTCTCTTTCCTTCTACCTTTGGCATTGGAGGTTGCAGTGATTAGTAACTTGTTTTAAAGATGGACATGTGGAAAAGTTGGGGTGTGTGCTTCTTCTTACGTACCTTTCTCATTCCAGCGTTATGCTCTTTTTTGTAAACAATTGAGCTTGGGACTGTCTTCTACCATATCTTCTCTGTATACCAACCACCCCACCATGTCCACATTTGTGGTGATGAGATTTTAGGAGTCTCTTCCCTTGACCCCAAATCAGATAAAATTTTATAGTTGCAAGTGTTTGTTTTGTCTTAAGTCTACTTATCTATCATAAGATGAAATTATTCTTTGGAGTAATAACCCACTCATCCTCAGCCAGGCCTACCACAATGTACAGAAGGGCAGGTGTTTATGGTAGAGATATGCAAAAAAAAATGAACACAATCCTTCATCCTGCAGTATCTGATGAAATGGGGTCTGTTTCCCAGGCTGACCCTGTGACTCCTATGCTAGCTAGTGGAATAAAGTGGGAATGATGAGGGATCAGTTATAAGACCAGAACACAAGGAGCCTGTGTGCTTTCACTCTCCCTCTGAGAACCCTGCCTAGCTAGAATGAGGACAAGATTAGGATGAGAGGTTGAGAGATACGTGGCTCCCCGTTGCTAGTCAGCCTATACCCAAACACAGAGTCACCTAGTTAATTACTGGTTGACAAATGTATGAGTGAGTCAATCCAGTTAAAATAAGACAAGCCTGGCTCAGATAGACTAACTGCACAGATGATGCATAGACAGGCGAGCAATAAAAAATGCTTGCTGGTTTAAGTCTCTGTGTTTCAAGGTGATATGTTACGCAGTATTATTTATGCTAAATAGATCATTGATACAATGCTCAGAATTAGTTTGCTGAATCAGTCATTTCCACCTCCATGTAAAAGTTTATCAGGTCATTTTCTGAGAATATTCTTTGTTAGGAGAGAATATGAGAATGCTACAAACAGACCTCTACAAGTACTACCCATGAAAGGGTAGACATGGAGTACCTGTTCAGAATTCTACACAAGGTATGTCAGGACTAGCAAGAGCACCTCCCTTTGTTCCCCTTGCTTTTTCTCTTCAGTCTGGGCTAAAAGCTACACTTGAGTCAGGTCTCAGTTGGTGCAACACCACAGAAGCTTGGATAAAAGTCAAGTATAGGAATGAGCACCATAATACCTGAGTCTCTCCTTAAGGTCCTTCCCATACAAGTTGTACTTGGCAGCAAGGTAGCTGAGGATGGCTCTAGTCTGTGTCAACATCATCCCATCAATTTCAACCAAAGGCACTTGGCCAAAGAGCAGGCATCCATCTGTGGTTTGAGCAAAGACAGGTAAGATACTCTTCTTCAATTGTTGCAGTAAGTTTGCAGGATGGTCCAATCTTAATTTCACTGAATGTTGTCTACTTTTCAGCCAAAGTGATGAATTACAGGCCCCAGTAATTGAAGAAATGCCTAACATTTGCTTCATGTAAAATTTGAGATTTTTTTTGACTGTTTCATGCACTTTTGTATGTTGGTTAGTTATGATTTTTTTAAGATTTTACACATTTGCTGTAACTATATTATAGTGTGTAGTTTTCAAAGTTTAGTCTCCAAAAGAATCATCAGGGGTGAGAACTTGTTAAAAATACCCATTCTACTCCCAAGATATTTTGCTTCAGGAAGTGTGGGAGTTTGCATTCTTTTAAAAGCACACCAGGTGTCACTCTAGGTGTACATGGCAGCAGGATAAATGTGACAGCAAGAACCCAGGCAGATCTGTGTTCAATGTCAAATTTAGTTCCTTCTAGCCATGTGACTTTGAGCAAATTATCTATCTGAGATTCAGCTTCCTATATCTAAAATAGCAAAAGCATCTATCTACTGGGATTTTGAAAGGATAAAATGAGGTAATATAAGATAACCACAATACTGTTAATAATCAATGTTCAGTGAAACCAAAATCAACTTCTGTTTTTTGCAGGTGACTGACTACATAAATACAGTTGTGCATGGTTTGACAATGCTGAGAACTTTGCTGTTTGGTAATTTTACCTTTGTGCAAACATCACAGAGTGTACTTACACAAACTAAGATAGCTATGATGTCATTAGGCATTATAATTTTATGGGACCACCATCATATAGCCTGTGTGTATCCTATGACTGCAATGCACTTAAAGATATATTACAAACAGGCTGAGCATAGTGGTACGTGCCTGTAATCCCAGAACTTGGAAAGCTGAGGCAGGAGTACCCTGAGTTCCAGGCCAACCTGGGCTACATAGCAACACCTTTTCTCCAAAATAAAGAAACAATAACAGAAAGATATATTACAAATGGGGCTCTTCTCATGGGATTTGAAGGAATGAACAGCTTTTGAATTTCCATTAATGCCTGCATATTGTCATGAATAAGCAACGTCATCCAGAATAGGAACCACATTTCATTGGTGCAATGGCAAAGGCCATAGTTCAGTCCCCCACCTTTTCATGCTGCTTTTAGTTGATTCAAGGAGAAGCAGTAGAAGCTGGTGGACGAGCACCTCCCCAAGAAGCAGTGACAGCCTTCTGAGAGCCAAGGTCTCTCTCTACTCAGATGGGTAAGGAGAGTCTCTGACTATCAGCCAGTTGTAGGTCAGCCTATTTTCTGACCTACAACAGCATCTGTCTGTTCAGTTACCCAGTTTCTTCAAGTAGATGATTCTTGGGACATGCTCTAGAAACACCAACATTATTACTTACTGGGAGGCTTCAAAACCTCCATTCAGTGAGTGTATTTTATCACTAGGTAATAAAATGATTTCCACATTCATTCAGTATTAAGTGAACATCTAAGGGTTGGTCACTGTGATGCTGCTTGTGAGTGACAAAAACGTTAATTAGAAATGATGCCGGTTTGAAGGAACTATCTTTTTCAAAAGGGTTTTAAAAATCACAGATCAAGAGGGCAGGAGAAGATCTTGGATATTACTTAGTCCAATTGCCTCATATTACAGAAGATGGCACTGCAAAGGCCAAGGGAGTGAGTGTGACTTGCCCACACTCACATGGTCTGGGGACAGCTAAGCCAACAGAAGTGGACATTCTGACCCTTTCTAGCACTCTCTGTGCCATCCCTTTCTGTCTCCTGTTCACAGCAACAGTAATGACCAGAAGGGCATCCGCAGCACAATAGCAGCATCGTAGATTCAGGGAGGGTGGGAGCATTACAAAGACTGCTAGGGAGAACGGCCTGCAGGAATGCTCATGGAAGGGCTCACGGAGCTAGTGGTGTATTGAGTGTATATGTGTGTGTATACTTAGAAGTAGCCATACCGTGTACCAGAGACTGTCCTCATTTGGAGGAGAGCAAGGTAGAAACAAAGATGAAGAGGAGTTTCAGGGAATAACCAATGTCCCCAAGTCATACAGTTTATCAATGACAGCATACTGACTACTAGTTGCATGGCCTTCTTAAAAATAATTTGCAGTTTCATAATTGCTAATCAGCAAAATGGGGGCACTCGTGCTTCTCTAGATAGGACAGTGGCATTGTGGCTGTTAGGAGTTTAATGTTGAAGTACTTATCTTTGTTCTTAGCATGAGAAATTACTCTGGGGAACTGTAGTAAATCAAGCCTTCTTTGGTCAAAATGTAATAAAAATGTGAATACTTTCCATAGCTTCCATTCTGCATTATGCATTAGGTATCAGAGCGTGATAAAATGGTGTCTGTTATCTGTTAAAACCTCTGAGGAAAAGCAGATATGAACTAGAACTAGAGAGCACCCTGTCTTGCTCCCCCCGCCCTCCAGTCCACTGATCAGAATTTAAAAGTTCTTGAAAGTGAGGGAGCTATTGGGCCATTCAGCACTGGCCAGCCCGTGCTAGCATATTAACTGCTGATAACCACCATGACCTGCTTGGTAGCATTTGTGAAGATTAAGAAGACAATGCAGATGTCACAGTCAGTCAAGATTAGTGGCTATGCTGTGTGTTTGCCTTTTCTAGTCGCTGTCCTTCTAGACATCTTTGTTCTATCTCAAAATGAATATTTCCAGGAAAAAATTCAATTTTTTTCTAATAACATTGAGTAGATGTAGACTCACCCTTCTGCAACTTCTCATATTGTTCTTTTGTTTCAAGAAATTCTTCTTCAAACTAAAGAAAGGATAGAGAGATGTTGTTACTATTTTAAGGAGAGAGAGAGAAAAATAGATTCTGACAGCTTTTAGAAATGCCACCGCTTTTAGGATAAAATTTTAAAAGGAACCACAAAGCTATCAATAGCTGAAAAGCGTGACAGAGTGTGTGTTCACTTAGTTGAACTGGGAGCAGCAGGTCTTTCTGGGTTCTGCCTAAGTCAAGGACCCCAATTTTCCTGATTTTTTTCATTACTTCATCTTAGCTTTTTCTCCTCTCTCCAAACTATTGTCTTTGTCTCCAACTTCTCCAATTATTTTTTCTCTTTTTCTCTTCTTTCCTGTTTTTTTCTTTTCCCTCTTCTTTTTTTCCTTCGTCTACATTAAAACAAAATAAATTTTTCTTTGATGTCGATAGAAAGAGATCCAAAGATAATAGCTCAGGTGAAGTTGTCTCAATTTTTTTGATGGAGTTTCTAAAGTTTTTGTGAGAGTAATTTCTTTTATCCCCCACATCCTGAGATGGGTGGGGTAAGGAGAGCAGAGTAGGGAAGAAGTCTCTGAAAGCAAAAGAGGAAAACACAGAATGCATGGATTCTTCCTTCAGATAGGGAGAAGGAAGACTACACCTGCAAAAAGCAAAACAATTCCAAGACACTGTGAAAAGTCAGTGGGGAAGGAATTCAGAGCTAAGGGATGATCTGATCTTTGGGGCAGGTCTTTCAGCCAGGCTGCAGCTCCAGCCAGTAGCCATGAGTATTACATAACTAATATGCCCAGGCAGGGCTGAAAAGTTCCCAGAAAATCAGTATATCCCCATGGAGAGAATAAGTCAGAAGTGAATCTCCTCTCTCTCCTTAATTTCACAATCCACTGAGATCTTTTCACCCTTATGAAGTTTCCAGTTCCCCAGCTCCTCCCTACCTCCTGGCCCTCTAGGACTGTGATTCCCCAACACCCCCCATCCCTTTCATAAGAAGACAGTCAGAAAGGAAAAGAGTAGATACAGCTCCATCCTGAATTTTGGAGGGGAAAAAGAACTTCTGAAATCCCACCTAATTACCCTTCTTCCTCTTCTCAATCAGGAACCAACCTCTACTCCAGCTGCAGCCAGCAGCCAGCGGATAGACTCCATTCTTCCCCTGCCACGAAAGTAGTAGAGCTTAGGTTTGGCTGCCATGAGTCCTGACTCAGAGTTTCCTAAAAGGCAATATTTAGAAAATATGTTTAAAGAACTAACACACACCATATGCCATGTCTCCATTATAGCAATTCCTAAGCAGATAAAACAAAACTCTTGTTTAGGAATGCACACATAGGAGGTAAGACTACGAAGAAAAATAACAATCACAGAAGCAGGATGGTGGTTACCTTCTATGAAGAGAAGAGGGGTATGACTGGAGAGGGGCAGTTGAGGTTCTAGAATGCCAACCATGTTCAATTTCTTGAGCAGAAATAGTAGTCTTTATAATTAGTCATTAAATTGTACATAAATGGTTTTGCATACTGCTTTATATATGCTCTTGCTCACAAATTAAGAAAAAAGAACACACTATGCATACCAAAGCATCAAGGCATTTAAGATTGTCTCTGATATTTGGAGATAGGAACCAGGATTGAAGCTAATGGCTACATGAGTGACCCTGAAAAAGAAAAACTTTCCTAATGGTAACAAGAAAGCTGGTCTGTTTGGATTGAAATGTTCATTGGGAACTGGGAACACTTTGATTAGTGTCATAAGTGTCTCGAGACTTTCTTGGGCATTGAGACAAGCGTGGATACAGGGCTATATAGGACCAGGATGTACATCTTGGTCACCAACAAGTTGGGTCATCTTAGCTGCCACTCACTAATCTTTAGCTGCTCTCAACTCTTCTTCTACAGTTGGGAAGAATCACCCCAGGCTATCTGCAGCCTGCTAGCACTTTCTCATCAATGCAAGAGCCACAGTGGCTATTCTGTTAGGGACACTGCCTGTCTCACAGGATCACTGAGGTAATCAAATGAGATAGAAAAGAGCTTTGAAAATGCGAAGCTCTAGACCAACGAATAGGGTTGTTGGGTTGTCTTTTCCCCCCCTCAGACTCATTTCCTTTACACAACAAAACATGCTTCAAGGCAGAAGTAGAAAAGTCAGCTGCTGGCCCATCTGTGCCTGTGGTGCTGCAGCACGGAGGTGCTCAAGAGGCATCAGGGGCAGCACATATGTGGAGATGATGGGTTCCCTTAGCTGCCTGAGGGGGCAGCCTGGACCTCAGCCAAACCTCCATATATCATGCCCTAGTTGGGATTTGACTTGAGGATGCTGCCTATGTTAGCTAATAAGACTCACAGGAAAGTAAAAACAAACAAACAAACAAACAAACAGGAATGTCTGTGACTCAATTGATAAAAGAAAGCTATTAAAACACACAATCCTATGACAACAAAATCCATTCAGTTCACAAGTGTCTGCAGGTATTTGAAGACATTCTTCCCTAGGGCTGATTTGTCCTCTTTCATGTTGGATTTACAGTTTAACTCTTATAGAAGTTTGATTCCTTTCTTGTCCCTGGGCACTATCTATAACTGGGCTGCTGTCAAGACTCAGTGCTTTTAGATTGTCTTTCTAGCCATGCCATTTTGAAAATTCCAGGAAATCTCTAAAAATCTACCACATAATTTGCTAGGGGGACACTATGATAAAAGGCCTTTGCTAACCAAAATTTCCTGATTACAGAAAATATCTTTATTTACAATGACTCACTTACAGGCCTAAAAATGAAACTTATAATAAAGTGAATGTGAAGAACACATGAGAAGAAGAAGGAAAATGGTGATCTCTTGTTAATCTCTCCCCAAGTAGAGAACTAATGAATTCTTTGATGTCTGCTTGCATTGCAAGCAAGATGGTTAAAGAGTTACCACACTCTTAATAAATAATGTACTGTAAATTTCAAAATTGCTAAGTAGGTTTTTACCACAAAAATGATAAATTGGTGAGGTGATGAATACCTTAGTTAGTTTGAATCTTTAAATAATGTATACACAGATCAAAATATTATGTATATCCCATAAATATATACAATTATTATCTGTTGATTAATTACAGATAAAAATTTTAAATTTAATAAACAAAGGAGGAGAGCATAGGAATTCACAGATATTCCAGTGGGCACCAGAGGACCAACACACAGCAGCTTCCAGTGTTGGAGATACTCATCTTCCAGATGGAGCGTGCCTGCCACTGCTCAAGTGACAGGAAGTCAGCAATGCAAAAGGAACTGGACGATTGACAAGTGATTCAACCTCTCACTCAGGGACCCCCTCCACGTCTCCATCATGCTGCCATCAGGCAAAATAAAGCAATGCTGGTGAAGTCAATTCTTGGGGTGTCTCATGGGAAGTACCAATTCCCTATTGTCCTTTCACTACAAATGGTTGCAACCACATTGAGCCGTCTCCACCTACTCTGAGAGATGAAATACACTATAAATCTGGCTGGGACTAGTCTGGTCGGTTTCCATGGTCTCACCAAAGCATTTAACCAGACCAAATTATCTTTGAAATGGTCACTAGGATGAAAAACCATGAGGCACAGGAAATATGGCTAAACTCCTCATAGAGGGATCCTATTCTATTCTCTCAGCTAAACAGAACATCGTCCCTTGGTTTATCCTGTGGATCCAGGTGAGGTCATTTCTGGTAGCCTCTTGTATGGTTAGGATGTGAAGTTTCCCCCCAAAGGCTCATGAGTTGAAAGCTTGATTCCACTTGGTGAGTCCAACCATTGACAGGTGACTGAATTATGAGGACTCTGATCTAATAAATAAATTAATCCACTAATGGATTCATAATTTGATGGCATTATTAGGAGGTAGTAGAACTCCCAGGAGGTGTGGCCTACTTGGAGGAAGAAGGTCACTGGGAGATAGGACATGTCTTGTCCCTAGCTCCTTCACCCATCTCTCTCTCTCTCTCTCTCTCTCTCTCTCTCATCTCTTTCTGTCTCTGTGTGTGTCTCTCTCCTCTCTCTCTGTTCCTGTCTCTCTTTCTCTGTCTCTCTCTCTCTTTGTGTCTCTCTGTCTCTCTCTCTTTGTGTCTCTCTGTCTCTCCCTCTGTGTCCCCTCCCCCCGCCTCCTTTCTGGCTGCCATGAGGTAAGCAGCCTTCTCTTCCTCCACATGCTTCTATTGCTATGATGTTCTGCCTTGCCTCAGGCCAAGGGACCATGGACTGAAACCACAAGCCAAAATAAATCCTACTTTTAAGTTGTTTTTCTCAGGTATTTGTCACAGTGACAAACATTTGCTAGCATACCTCCACAAGCTGTTTCTAAGCAGTGATAGCTTAAAATGCACTCTAGTTGGTCAATGTCCTGTGTGGGCATTTTCCTAGTGACTTGAAATCTTGGGAAATTAAACCCTCGGCTCTGCTATGCCCAGTGGAATTAGGTACTTAATGTGCCAGACTCTACTGTGTGGTCACTTGCCAGCTCTAAGCTTTATATTTGTTTCAGATACAAAGTCACAAGTGAGATACAAATGGCTGTGCCTGGTGTCAGCAATGGTGAGACCTCTGAAACAGTAGGAGTGGCAGCAAAATGCATCCAGAATAATCAAGAATGAGGCAAGCTTCTTGCTGAAGTTGTAGAATTGACACTCAAAGGGACGCAGAGTGGTGGGCTTTTGGAGGAGAGAGAATAAACCAGTGGGGAGTTGGCAGACAGTGGGCACTGAATGGATGGACTGGACTATAGGGTGTCAGAAGGCTTCAGCAGGACTCCAGTCCCCGTCCAGCCCTTTCGGAGAAGGACCTGTTGCCTCTAGAACAATGCAGAGCACACAGAAGGGGTCCCCTAGTACCCAGCTGCGATGAAATTGCTCTCTCTGAATTCTACACTGCAAAATTCTAACCAAGTGGCAAAATCCTGGACAACAGGAATTGTGTCATGTTTCATTCTTTGTAGAACCAATTGTCCTCTCCCTCTCTCCCTCCCTCTCCCTCTCCCTCTCTCTGTATGCATGTGTGCACGCGTGTGTGCGTGTGGTGCTATTGGGGATCGAACCCAAGGCTTTGCATTTGCTAGACAAACACTCCACCACCTGTGCTATGCTCCCATAGGCCCAATATACACTACTGGTACTGTCAACTTACCTACTGCTCTGAGGTGTCAATAAGTTTCTAAACTTAACGAGGTTCTCGTTTTCAATCTTTCATTCTTTTTCTCAACGGCAAACATATATTGAACTCCTACTAGGAGATAAAGCACTAGGTTGGGAATTCTAGGCACACAAAGACATCAGGCCGTCAAAAACATACAGCCTAAATGGGACATTGGAGGTACATGCCTGTAATTCTAGCTACTCTGAAAGCTAAGTCAGGAGGATTGCAAGTTCAAGACCAGCCTTGGTTACAAAATGAAACCCAGTCTCAAAAAGGGGGTTGGGGTGTGTGTGGTGCTAGGCAAGCACTCTACATGTTAGGACCTGGATTTAATGCTTAGCAACACACACACACACACACACGCACACACACACAATATGGTATTACAGGAATTAAATAGAGCTTTACAGAATGAATATATGTAAGTACAGTATTTGCCTGACCCCCACCCCTCAGTTAGGTTACAGGTCTAAAGCAGATCCTCTAATACCTTTTTCTTAATTCAACAAAGATTAGGATAAACCACAGACTGGAAATACAGAAGATCAAGTTTGCTTATGCTTCAAAAGCAAACTCAATTATTTCATTGTTTAAAAAGTACATTGTCAGAGTGTGGAAAAAACAGGTGCAATAGAAGTATCCATTCCAGCCCTGGGAAATGAGGGAACAAAGAGAAGTGTTTCCTGGATTCTGCCCAAATGCAGACATTTTGAGCACTCTGAGCTGGGAGACTCAGAACCAAGGGGTCACACTGGGTGTACACTCACACTCATATGAATTCTGATTGCTTTTCACTTTGCAAAATAATGGGTTTCATGATGACATTTTCACACATGTATACAATGTTTTTCAATACCTCCTTCTGACACTGGTCTCCTCTCCAATAGTAAACCTTTTTGTTTACAGATCTAGAGTCACATGAGAGAGAACATGTGATGTTTGTCTTTCTGAGTCTGGCTTATTTTGCTTAACATGATCCCCATTTCCATCCATTTTCCTGAAAATGATGTAATTGCATTCTTTATGACTGACTGAATAATACTCCAGTGTGTGTGTATTTGTGTGTGTGTGTGTGTGTGTGTGTGTGCATGTGATATATAGTCTTTCTCCATTCATCAATTGTTGGACACCGAAGCTGATTCCATAAACTGACTATTTTGAATAGCTCTGCAATAAACATGGGTGTGCAGGTGTCTCTGTTGTACGTGGTCTTCGGTTCTTTTGGATCTATGCACAGGAGTGGTATAGCTGGATCATATGGAAGTTTTATATTTTAGTAGCATATTATTATTGTTCTGGGGGCACAATGTGACATTTACAAAAGTGCTCACAATATATCTTAGTTAAATTCATCCTTCCATCATTCTCCTTTATCCCCTCTCCCTCATTTTTAGAATAGCTTTAACAGGTCTCATCTTTCCATTTTTATACGAGTACATAGTATTCCACCCTAATCACTCTCCTACACCTTTTCTTTATCTCTTTCCCCTCCTACTGGACCATCCCCCAGAGAGGAACTATTTTGCCTTCTTGTCTTCCATTTTTGAAAAAAAGAAATTTTTGTTTAAGACAACTATAGTTTCACTATGACTCTTCCCTGCATACATGTATTATATCCCAAATTGGTTCATCTCCATTTTTCTCCTTTCTACCTTTGTCCCCTTCTTATGGTGATTTCAACAGGTTTAAAAAATCTGTATTCACTCCTGAGTAGAAAACACATCAACCATATTCACCTTCTTTGCTTCTTTCTTTTACCCTCCCTCCTCCCATTGGTGCCTCCTCTTTGTGTGACTTGTTTTTCATTCTTGTTCTTTGTCTGTTTGTTGTTCCGTGGGACTTTTGCCTTGGTTTTATACCTGTACATGCATTGTGCTTAAGTCAATGTAACCCCCCTGCATAGCACATCCTCACTCTTTTCCCTCTATCCTGTGTTGTTTAGCAGTTCCAGCGTATTTCCTCATGTCTTCTTCCTACATAGATATGATCTCCTTCATTACTATTCACTATCTTTCCCTTCTTTTCCTCCTCTCTTGGTCTCTGCCAGTCTCACTTTTGGATATATACAGAACATGTGCTTGGTATATATTTCAATGTCTATGCAATAGTGCTTGTATTCTGTATTGAGCTTATCTTCCACATATGAGAGAAAAATGCATCCTTCAGCTTTCTGAACCCAGCTAACTTCACTTACAATGATGTTCTCCACCATGAAACCTCTTACAATTACTTTAAGTGAGGTGGGGAGAGGGGAGGGGGAGATGGTGGGGGCGACCTAGCCAATGTACAATATAAGCCTATTCGAAATTGTCACAATGAATCCCCCCTGCACAACAAATATATCCTAATAAAAATGGGGGGAAACACCTGAAGTAGTTCCCCAGTTCCATCCATTTACCTGCAAATGACAAAATTTCATTCTTCTTTGTGGCTGAATATAATTCCATTATATATAAATACCACATTTTCTTAATCCATTTATCAGTTGTAGGCACGTTGGCTGTTTCCATAGCTTAGCTATTGTGAATAGTGCTGCAATAAACAAGGGTGTACAGGTGCCTTTATTGTGACCTGACTTATATTCTTTCGGATATATCCCTAGGAGTGGTATTGCTGGATCATACGGAAGTTCTATTTTTAGCTTTTTGAGGAAACTGCGTACTGATTTCCACAGAAGCTAAACTAATTTACATTCCCACCAACAGCGTATAAAGGATCCTTTTCCACACATCATCACCAGCATTTGTTGTTTCTGCTCTGATTTTTATGCCTCTGCTACTGGCAGCAGGTATGTCTTGAATGAAACAAAACCAGTTTACCAAGTAGGTTCTGTGCATGGGTCTTAATGACATAAAGGATTGCGCTCCATCCCTCAGGGCTCAAAGTTTCACCGGTGTGCAGACTCCCTGAGATGCAAAGGAATGCACTCCCCCATTCAGAGCCCCAGGTACACATCTCAAGTGGACTGAGCAATAAGCAGTGATGATGGGATCACCATCCACACTTGGCTAGTTGGAGTATGGTCCTTTGATTAAAAAGTAATAATCACAACAAGCCAGGAATAGTGGGACATGCCTATAATCCTAGCATTTGGGAAGCAGAGGCAGGAGGACTGTGAGTTTGAAGCCAGCATGTGTTACACAGTGGGTTCTAGCCCAGGCTGGGCTATGAGGCCTTGCACTATCTACAACAGCAGCTCAACAATTATTAATAATAATTAATAATTATAATAATTATATCCAAAATCTTTTGGAAATGTGGAAGAACACATTCCCCTACATTGGCCAGAGTTAGGCCCTGCGTAACAGTTCAGATTTCAGCTCTACCTCTCTCTTCCTCATGCTTCTTAACCTCTGTGAGCCTCTGTGTTCTCTTTTGTACAGCAAGGCTAACAGTGCCTAGGTCATTTGATTACAAGGTTGAAATGAGATCACAATGCACACCCTGCTGAACATACTAATGACCAAAAAAATTGCCTCCCAACACCCAGCCACCTGGAGATTACAGCAACATTCACATGTGAGAACAGAAATCAGACTTGCCTCTGATACAAGTAGACAGCGTCCTCTGGAAGTGTGGTTTCAGTACCAGCGATGACTCTGGGAGCCTACTAGAAATGCAGAACCCTAGCCCTTGGGCCTGTGAATCAGTCTGTGTAATGACTCAGATTCCTGGCGACTCCCATGTACATGAAACGACATTTGAGAGACTGAGCTTAAAGTGAAAACCCAACTACTTGCCCCTGGGGCTGTGTGTGGCCTTTGGTTGTTTTCTAGTGAACAGGACCTGATGTTTAGACAGAATGAGCAAATGGTGAAGTTGTGTGTAACTAAGGATGGGGAAAGGTCAGAGAAGAAGGAGCTTACTGCCATGTCAACTCATTGAATGTCTTTCAAGACAGAAATTTTTAGGATTCAAGGAATTGATTAAATTCCCTAATTTAACAAAGTACCAGACATGTGGGGTCCAGCCCTGGAGCAAAGTCAGAAACAGAAGTCAGCTTGCTCAACAATGAAAGGAAGAGTTGGTTTGGTAGTAGATCATCACCTCAGTTTTTTCCAGTTTTAACCTTTCTGGTCTCAGTTCTCTTCCTCTGCTTTCGTTCTTTGAAGAGGCTGACAACCTCTTTGGGGGGAAATTCTACTAACAATGTTAACAGTCATTCTGGATAATTTAGACAAAACAAGGTATGTTTTTCTCAATTGTCTGAATAAGCAATGCAGGCTTTTAGTGAATTTTCTAGATAATCAAACTTGTAAAGGACTAACTTAAGAGACTGCCAGTTTTAAGTCAATGATACATCAGAGAGAGAATATCTTTAAAGTTGAAAGACAGTAATATAAACAATACAACCAAGGTTTTTGGTATAGCTTGAGTATAGCTTTATTGTAGTTTCAGTTTAACTTCAAATTGTCAGTGTTTATAAACTACTTCTATTTTTCTAAAATGACATCTTAGAAAGGACTTAATTCATTGATTCTGATATGTCATCAGTCAGCATGGTCTCCTACACAGAACCAGCCCCTCCAAAAAAGATCTCAAGTATTTATGTTTTGTTTTTTTTTTTAACTACGACCATAGAACATTACTGTGGAGGAGAGGGATGTCACTTACACAGTAAGATGACCAATGAGATAGCCAAAATCTTGTATTAAGTATCATCTCCCTATGTTTCATATTCAGTAACTAATGTCCTTTTGATGAGGGTCTAATGGATTGATTCTTATTTCCAAAACTCACAATAGGTTGACTTATTCCTGCAAGGCTTCCGAACTTACTTGGATGAAAAATCTAAAGCCAGGAGACTTTTATTTACCCAAGTTCTTGAGGCTACTTGAGAATAAACAAAGTGAGCTGCCACCTGGCTATTGTTATTTAGAGAGTGGGGCAAGTCTGAGATCTTGACTCAAAGAGCCCCTGCTTCTTGACTCCACACAGCTCCCTGGGTGTGCAGGAAACCAGAGGAGGACCCCAGGGTCAGATCATTTGGATTAAATATTCTAGCCTTACTTGGAATAGACACCTAGATGCAGGAAGATTTAGTTTACCTTTACATCCTTTTCAACTAGGTACAAAAATAGGGAGGAAAAAATGTAATGGCTTAAAAAGTAATAAATATTTTCCAATTCTACTAAGCATATTATGTCAGTCAGCCTACTGAACTCTTAGATATTTACTTTTGAAACTCCATTTAATATGCGATATGGGAGTGGGGACATTTTAATGTCTGATAATATGTATATCATGCACAGGTAATGGAAGTCTCCAAAAAGGCTACATCTATATGTGCATTTGCTTTCTCCTTCACAATGACATATCTACTCTGCAGGAAAAAAATCTGTTCCTTTTATTTGATATAGGCAAACTTTGAAATAATAAGCATTGTATTAATCACAAAATTAAAACAATTTCCTGCAAATTTGGCAGCAAAATTTTATAACTATCCAACCAAGTCTAAGAAGAGAATATAAATTAGAACTTCATCACTAACCTCTTCTCTTCTAGGCTCCTGTCCTGGGTGCTTGGAGAGGTTATTAAATGAGGCCTTATATGCCTTTCCTTTCCTATGGAAACTTCCACCCGCTCAAGTCATTAGCTAATAAGCATTCCAGTTTACACATGTACTAGGTTTATTAGAGAAGGTTTCGCTTTACATCCATTTTTAGCACATCCCATTACGCAAGGAAGAAGAACACTTGTTCAGCAAGTGTTCTGCTGGCTCATTCAACAAGTATGCCTTGAATACCTTTATGTCATGCATTGATCCAGGTGTGGCTCTACACCTACAAAGATGAGCATGAGAGATGAATTCCTGCACTGGTGGTACTTAGATTCTAGTTTAAGAAGACAGATAATATAAGTCAATAAATAAATGAAGCTTGTTCAAAATAATAAGAGCAATGATAATTTATGGGTAAGTGAATTAAATTGTATGCAGCGAAGTTATAAGGTACAAGAGAGAAGAACGGAAATACTGTTTTAGTTCATTCTGTGCTGTAATAGGATACTTGAGACTGGGAAATTTGTTTAAAAAAACAGACTTGTATTTTACAGTTCTGAAGGCTGGAAATGCCAATCAAGGGGCTGGCATCTGGTAAGGGAAGGCCCTCTTGCCAGAGAAAGTAAGAGGACAGAGAAGGGACCAAATTCATTCTTTTGTCAGGAACCCTTTCCTGAGATAACTAACCCATTCATCAGTCATAGCACCAATCCATTCACGTGGCAGAGCCCCCACGACCTAATCACCTTTTAAAGCTCCTACCTTTTCAAACTGCTCCTTTGGGATTAAGTTTCCAACACATGGACTTGGGTGGACATTCAAACTAAGCACTCAGTTATGAAGTACTGTCACTATCTGTGAAGTGCTGTGTTATTTGGAAATGGTCTAGTATTAGTTGTAAATGTATACTGTAAGGTATCTACTAAAAATGTGATATACATATATAAACATATATGTATATGCATACATATAATTGATATACCAAGAGAGAAAATGGATTTGCATAAGATGCACAATTAAAACCAGAGAAGGCAGAAAGAGTGGAAGACAAAAGAGAAAAAAAAGAAAGGACAAGGACAACAGATAGAAGACAGTTACAAACATAGTAAATATAAGCCCAACTATATTAAATAATTACTTTAAATGTGAACAATCTTAAGTGTACCAATTAAGACAGAAACTGTCATGAATGGAAAACATGAGAGCCAAGTGTGCTACCTACAAGAAACTTACTTTAAACATAGAGACACTAGTTGATTAAACAGGTAAGAATGCCCGAGGGTTTCAAATGCCAGGAGGAAAATGGAACAAGAGGATGAGAAAGGGGTGTGTGTACGTGAAGTGCTACAGGTCTCAAGTTCAAGGATTCCCCACACCAGGATGGCTGTGCTGTAGAATAAGGAGGAAGCTGACGTGCAGTGTCCTGGACAGGTAATTTGGGCTGAAAGAATGGGGGAACACCAGTAGATACAAAGGTCCATGCTGGTTATTGTGTTTCAGACTCTAATCCCTGGGATTCTCTTTCTGTTCCATTCTGTCGCCAGAAGGCTGGCTCCTAATGACTGTCTCAGCCAGGCAGAGGACAGGAGGAGAGCCAGGTGTTTCTTGGGGGCACATCTGCCAAAGCCTCTCGAAGAGTGTCACTTTATACTGGTCACCTGGCTCATTAAGTACCACACCTCCTTCTGTCCCTGACACCAGTGACCAAATATTCATTTTCCCTCTTCCCACCACATGTTGCAGACTCTGCAACTGCCCTACTGATACATAGCTGTGCCCTTTGACTCCTTGGTTCCACCTGTCACCGCTTCTATTGTTTTGTTCTCAGACAAAAAAGAACCTGAAATCCTCCTACCTACGCCTCCTCAGTGCTGGGATTACAGACATGCACCACCACATTTGATGCCTGCCCCCTACTTTTTCTTGCTCCCTGTTTTATACAGGAAGTAGTGCTGTATTTGGGTTTAGCCCTGAATACCCTAGCATGGTATTTTTGATAAACAGTCCTATCCATGAGCCTGTACTCTAAAATCAAAGTCTGGTGACTTAGGACAACGAGAGGGTAGTTAGTGGTGGAGGGAGGTTTGAGACTCAAGTGTGAGATTCTGTCCAAAAAGGCAATGTATGAAACTGGAGTAATTGTACTATTGTGGGAGTTTGCTAGCTGAGATACGGGACTCTTGGGGCAATTAGCAGGAAGCAACATTTTATTGTGCCAGCACAGACTCAGCAGACTCATGTCTAAAGGCTGAGCCCTGACAACAAAGGGGTCTCACCTTATAGACCCTTGCAAACAGGTTACAGAAGCAAAAAGCAAGGTTTAATCCATATATGGTTATATTTAATTTTATTGGCTACTTTACCCTAGTGCTATGTGACTTTCCCCTCCCTGGTGCTACATGACCTTCCTCATGTTCAGATTTCTCAGGTTTTATCTCTCTGCTATGCCGTCCCTACCTCCCTGCACTTTCTCAGGCTCAGGCCTAGACTGTTTTTTTTCTGATCCTCCTCCCTGCTATACTACCTGAGGTGGAACAGGGAGAAGGAGACTGGTTTCCATTATGGGAAGTGAATGGCACAGTTTAAGGTCACGTTATCATAAAGAGGAAAGACAAGAGAGCCTTTCTTCACTAAAGACCCCCTGGCCTTTGACTTTCTCTAGTCCTCTAATTCAGTGCTTGTTTCCTCAAAGGGCCAGCACCGGGAGCTGTATCTAAGACAATAAAACTCAAAAGCAGTGTTTGCAAAATGGAAATATAGTAAGCTGTCTGTTAACATGATCTGCGATGGTGTCAGATAGTAAACACCAACATGATAGTATAAAATAGCCCAAATGTGTTGCCCCACCCCCAACAAAACTTAGTAATATAGGCTTCTGCAGGTGGTCAAATCAATGTCTTGTTCCCATGTGTGAATGAATCTCCAAGTGAGTGTAACATGTTTCTGCTCCCTGGAAAGTTGAGAGGGAGCAGTCCACAGGCTGCCCTCACTTCTAACATTGACTGCAAATCCAGGGGAGTTCCCCAGCCACTTTCAGGATCAATAATTCAATAGAAGGATGCACAAAACTCACAGAATGCTGTTATACTCCAGGGTATAGTTTATTACAAGGAAGGGATGCCAATGAAGACCAGCCAAGGGAAGAGACGCATAGGGCAGAGTCCAAGAGGGTTCCAACACAGGAAAGTTTCTGACTTTCTCTTTCAGTGGAGCTATGGGCAGAGTTAACTCCTCCTGGCAACAATGTGTGATGTACACATGGAGTACCATCTACCTGGGAAGCTTACCTGAGACTTGGTGTCAGAGTTTTCATTGGGGGTCCATCGTGTGGGCACTGTGACTGCCCAAGCTGATGTTTCCACTCCCTCCAGAGATACCACACGACCCAAAGCCACAAGACCCTCTACCACACTGTGGGTATGGTTCAAGACACTCACCCTAAATCTCATGTACTCATTGGTTAGCAAGGATCCCAGGTGTACAAAGATCCAGACACAAATTCTAAGGTCTTAGAGATTGTGGCCCCAAGGCAACAACCAACCTCTCTAGGGACAAAGTGAAATTTGTTCCTATTTTCTTCCTTCTATTGGCTGCTGCACTCAGAGGCCTTCCCAGAGCTGAGCCTCCCCCTCTAAACATAGCAACCTGGGGCATTTTTGTTCCTTAGACTACCCAGGCTGCACCTGCCATCAACCCTTTGCTCTTGCAGAAATTTAAAATATAAGTGATGATAAGAGTGCTCAGGATGCATAAATACAAATCCTGGTCTTATTTGAGCTTGACTTTTTCTGAATGTAAACAACGAAGCCCTTTCATTGATTCTGACAGGCCTCAAGCATTACCTCACAATTACCCACCCCCTTCTCTGATCAAAACACCCCTGCTGTAGTTTAATGTTTCCTTCCTACCAGACCCTCATCAAAAACCAGTGGGAGGTGGGAGGTGGTGGGGAAAGGGGGTGAGAGGGTGAATATGGTGCAAATACTGTGTACACATGTATGTAAATGGAAAAAAATGAGACCCATTGAAACTAGTCTAAGAATGAGGGGAAGAAAAAGGAGAGCAGTGGAAGGGGTCAATTCAAGTATGACATATTTGATACAATGTAAGAATTTTTGTAAACCCACTGTGTACCCCACCCAGCACAAGAAAAACAAAAAACTTGCCTTTCAGGGCTGGCAGAGTGGCTCAAGCAGTCTAGTGCCTGCTTAGCAAGCATGAGGCCCTCAATTCAAAACACCAAACCAAGTAAAACAAAACAAAAACTTGCCTTCCTTTGGGTTTTTTGTTGTTGTTGTTGTTGTTTGTTTTTGTGAAAGTGACAGTAAAGTTTATCAGGAAAGGAATTCACTTTCAGTAGACTGAGAGTGGGTCATCTGAAGGTTAAGAACCACCTCCTTGATTTCTTAATTTCTTAGCAGGAGATACTCCAAAATTACTCTTCCAAAATTATGCCTGCTGATTACATGTGTATTTCTCCCCCTCCCTGCAGTGCATTTTCCTAAAGAAGCAGCTCTGCTCTCTGATTCTGTCTCCCGGCACCCAGCCTGGAGGTGCTCAACTAGGGTTAGATAGGTAAGTCAACACACAGTCAAAGGCAGCACAAACAGACCAGATTTCTTGCTCTGAAATGCAAAAACATTAGAAGCTTATGAATAACCATTTAGGTAGCTAAAAGATAAAAATAATACATATTAGTATTTCCTTATACATGTGTCAGATATAACACATAGCTGTATAAATTCGCCTATAAGAAGAAGAACTAGGTTGCTGGGAGACAGAATTATAAAGAAGACTTCCAAGCCCGTACAGCCTGTTTGATTTCTTTTATTTTCATTGTTTGACACAGGGTCTTGCTATGTAGTGGGGCTGACCTAGTATTTGCTATCTTCCTGCCTTAGCCTCCTGAGTGCTGGGATTACAGGTGTTTATCTCCACACCCAACTAGCTTGTTTGATTTTTGAACCATGTGTATGTACCTTATATTATACAATATTTAATTTAAAAATTCTAGCAACAGAACAATAATTAGTAAATGCTTTATTTTGGCTAATATCAATTGCATTCATTACTACCATTTCACTTATTATAACTTAGAAGAGAGCTGTTCACTGGACATTGTGCTCTTATTAGGCACTAGAAACTGGGAAGAGACTGGAGGGGGTTAAATGAACCGAGGAGAAAGACGCTCAGGAGAGACCATGAGATCATTATTCCCTCATTTTCAGGATGAGTCAACTACAGGAAGTGAGTAACCCGACAGATCTAACTCAAACACCAGCCTCCCCAAAAAGGTTTGTCAAAACATGTCCCATAATAATTACTCACTGTGAAAAAAATTATAATGATAGTTTTAGGAGAGAAGATCTTCTTGCCATGAAAGACCCAACTTACAGACCAAATTAACACAGAGCACTAAGAGAGCCGGGGTCACGTACGATATCACTGCAGACACTACCACTTCTAGGAACAAGCTCCCACTCAAACATAGCTGAGTTGCTCTACAGCATGAAGACGTTGTAGACAGTTCGTAGGTAGATTTCATCAGGAGGGGGCTTTTTCTTGCTGCCAGGCTCAAGGAATCTCTTAATTGTAGGGATATTACTTAATTTCACTGAGTATTCCTGGAAAAGGAAAGCACAAAAATTCAAAGTTAACAGCAAAAGAAGTAGTAACTATGAAAGTATGGCTGTGTAAAACATCTCATTAAAATCTGTCCAATAAATATTTGTCGATGTGGTCCAATCAGAATTGCCATCCAGGTCCGATTGTGTCATGACTACAATCTCTGCAATCAATGGAAGAACTGAGACCAGGGTTTATGCAAATCTCATGGAGCACACAGTTATGTTAACAGCAAAATAAAAGTATACTTAGCGTAGGATTTTGGTACTTGCTTAAGGAGAAAAAAGAAGGAAAAAAGCACAATGGAGGAATTGATCTGTTCAGAGAAAAAGCATGAGCTATTTACAAAAACGTGCCCTAAAAAGTCATCAGAACTAGAGAACATCATCTTAAGTGAAGCCTGCCAGGTTCAGAAAGCCAAAGGCCCTATGTTCTCTCTCATATGTGGAATACAGACCACATATGATTACACAAACAATATTATGAAAAACATGTCACACTAAGGGAGGTCACTGACGTACGAGAAGGGGAGGGTAAAAGAAGGAAGTTAAGAAGGTGAATATGGTTGATGTTCTTCCTATACAAGAATGGATATAGAATTTTTAAACCTGTTGAAATCACCATAAGAAAGGGACTAAGGTAGAAAGGAGAAAAACAGAAGGGATGAGCTAATTCAAGTTATAACATATACATACATGGAAATCTCACAATGAACACCCTGTGTAGCTATCTTAAACAAACAAAAATGTTGTTTTTTTTTTTTTTCAAAAACAGAGAACAGCAAGGCAAACCAGGTCCTGTTAGGAGGGCTGGTATCAGTGGGAGGGGGGCAGATATAAGGAAAGGGTATAAGAGGGAGAATGTAGTAGAAATATTATGTACTCATGTATGAAAATGGAAAAATGAGTCCTGTTGAAAGGCATAAAGGAGAATGATGGAGAGGGTGAATTCAACTGATAGATTGTAAGAACTTTTGTAAATGTCACAATGTAACAACAATTAAAAAAGAAATAAAAATCCCGACTGAGAAAATGAAAAAAATTAAGTCATCAGGGCCAGGTGCAGTTGCTCACACTTGAAATCCTAGGTACTTGGAGGCAGAGACTGAGAGGATCACAATTCGAGGCCAGCCTGGGTAAACAGTAGGATACCAATCAATTGTGCATGCACCTGTCACCAGAGCTATGAAAGAAGTATAAACAGAACAACAATCCAGACCAGCCTGGGCATAAAAGTGAGAGCTTATTAAAAAATAAATAAAAGACAAAATGGGTTGGCAACATGGCTCAAGTGGTAAAGCACGGCCAAAAAAGAAAAAAGTCTTCATACAGTACAATTTATATTTTAAGACTCAGCTTCCTTGGGCTTTTTACTTCTATTAGCAAAGGAGTCCTCTTTTTTGGCTATGTGTGGGAAGTGGCCAGTTGCATCTTTCATAGCCTGTGGCTCAAATACCAGATATTTATGTAAGGTGGAATGAAAAAAAAATGGTATCTTTCATTTGAAGTTAAAATCTCAACAATTCTCAGTAACTGAGGTAAAAAAACCCATTTGATCTGGTAAAAATTGTGAACTGTACACAGAAGTGTATACTTACCACACATAACTAGTTTGGGGCTGGAAGAGAGTGACTCAAGTGATAGAGTACCTTCCTTATTAAGCACAAAACCCTAAGTTCAAACCCCACTATCAGCAAAAATAAAAACACATATAATTAGTTTAATAAGATATTTTGAAATGAAGGTCATTTATTTTAGAAGCTACTACTTATTAAATGTCTATTATGTGCACGATACAGAAAAACATAAACATTAATATATGTCACTAATATTAAAAAGAACCAATTAACTACTTATAAATATGACAATCTTCTTTTTTTCATTACTCATTTAAGCTCTACTTGTATTATCTAATTTTTATATCAATCTTTAGAAGCTTGATCTGAAAGATTTATCATTTCAAAAGTTACCTGAGGCTCACATTCATGCACAACACAAAATTTGTGATTTTTCTACCCTTTAATTAATAGAGGAATAGCCTTTTAATTCATGCACAGATCTGAAGTTAGATTCTGAAATTGCTTAATATTGATGACCAATCTGCTCAAATGATTAAAATTATATTTACACATATGTGTCTTGGGGTTTAAAGACAAAATTAGCATCATGGATGAAAACTATCAACAGGTCCTGGTGCTAGGAGGTAGATGTTTATTATTTACTCCAGACTTCTTAGACTTTTTGATCTGTCTATCTATCTATCTATCTATCTATCTATCTAACTATCCATCCATCCATCCAACGAAAAGTACTTCCTTGCTGACGAGGAATGTGTTTTACATACATGTCTAGAAAGAGGTTTCATATTTGATAAGCTTAGCAAACAAAGTTTAAATGTTTCCCTTTATTTTGCCTATTTTGGGGTTAGTATCCCTCCAGTTTAGGACTTAAGGCATTACCATGTACTTCTAAATAATACATTTTTTGGAAGTCACAGACTAGGGGAAGGGACTCACACTTAGATCCTAGATAGCGCTATGATTCCCGATTCAATTACCTAGTCATATAACTCGGTGTAACTTGATGAAAAACATTAGTTTTCATTTGTAAAACAGGTACAGTAAAGCCCACCTCCTAGGGTTATGAGGGTGAGCTTGGAGGGATTCCAATGAGCAAATGCAAGTAAGTACCTAGCAGGCCACCTGGAAGGAAGCAGGCAGTCAATGGCGGATTCTTAAATGGCAGATTCTTCACACTGTTTCCTCATATTTCCCTTCTCTGCTGAACAAATAACTGTTAAAATTGGTCACAAGAATACTTAGGGCAGCAACATCCTAAATTCTAGGACTGGGGATGTGGCTTAGTTGTAGAACACGTGTCTAGCAAGTGCAAAACCTTAGGATCAATCCCCAGCACAGAATAAAATAGGTAAAGTATTCTAAATTCAGAATGAAAAAAGTCAAAGAAAGTTCGTCACTGGGTCTGCATGAAGAAACCAAGATGTCTCTGACACCACAAATGATGTAATGGCTTTTTGTCTTGTTAAGGTTTCTATTCTTGTTTTCCAGGTATTTATTTAACTGGGGGTAGTTGTCCTTGCTAATACATCCAATGATATTTACCAGTCTTGGGGGGTTTAGTATATGTTTTTCTCTTGGCTTTTGATATTTTGAGCAAAGATACAGAAGTTTAGTGTATATTAAGGATTGGTAACTATTTCCTACAAAGGACAAATCAGTGAATTCTTCAAGCTTTGCAGGGCACACAGTCCCTACCAGTTCTACTCAGCCGTGCTGGAGAACAAAAGCAGCCATAGGCAAAGTGTAAGTGAATGGCATTGTTCTGTTCCAATAAAACTTATCAACAGATGCTGATTTGAATTTCATGTAATTTTACGTCATGAACTGTTATTCTTTCGATATTTTCCCAATCACTTAAAAATGTAAAACTCATTCTTATTCTTAGCTCACGAGTTGTATAAACACAGGTGGCAGGCTTGATCCAGCAGTTTGACTTAGGGACCATAATTTGCCAATCCCCAGTGTGGAGGAAAACCCATCACACTTGGAGATAAAGGCTAAGGTTCCAGACAAAATCCATGTACCCATTAGCTCAATATCTTGACTGCTGATTTCTTCATTGCAGACTTCTATAAGTGAGACTACAAATCTTTCCATGGAATTCCTGAGATGGAGAAGGGTGGGAACCCTTTGGAGTGATGTTTAGGGTGCCTCTTATTTGCTCTCAGAACCTGGTGTTGGCCACATTATTTCTGAAAAAGGGAGTCACTTCCTGACAATGACACCCATGCATATGGCTATCGCTATGGAAAGTCCTCATGAGCAAACTCTTTTGTCTGAAGCTGCTTCTAAGAGTGTAGTTATAAAGCAAAACGAAGATGAAAACTTCATGTGTCAATGAGCTTTCAACTCTAAACATCTGAAGACCAGAAAAATAATTTCAAATCTATACCTTCATTTCATTTCACTAACTAGAGCAGAAAAAAAAAAAACCACGAAATCACACACAAATACCTCCCTACCCCCAAGAGTTCTGGACCAATCTTCTAGCACAGTTTTATTTACCTGTAGGAAAGGAAATGCAGACAGGATATTAGGAATCTTCTCTTCTAGAGCCAAAATGGTTTGGAGTAGAATCACATCCGCAAGACTTAGCTGATTCCCAACAAGAAAGGTTTGTCCATGGCTCCTTAAAACCTGAAGGGTATAGATGGTTTGTACCGGTTAGAGCAGAGAGAAACTGATGAAGTCTTTGAATCTGGGAGGTGTGTACGACAGCCTTCCCCTTTTGTCTTTTTATAAGTAACATTAAGAGGAAGTCCCTACATCTAAGAGCGAGGGAAGGGGAAGAGTGAGCACAACAAGGTGCTATAGTTGAGAAGAGAAGACTCATTGTTTCTGGATTTAGTACTCCATGTTTTAAAAGGATACTTCTAGAAACACACCTAGGATAATAAACTGGCCCTGATGAGTCCTGAGTGCTCAGGGAGGAGTGATGTAAGAAGTCTAAGTGATAAGTTGTCTTTCAGGGATTCACTCTTGTTTTCCTAGATCTGTGTTTCTATGAACATCAGGACTTGTAGTAATACGCCAGACATGACTATAAAAGTGTACTTGCTTTCATATTTCCCAAACACAGAAAATTGAAAGCTTAAACTCACCCTGACTTCTGTTCTGAGTGTAACAGAGGTGTGAGGATTTATAATAGATTTTGCTCAGGAACAGACAAAGAACAGTGGTAACAAAGGGGAGCTCCCTTTCACAATGAACTCGCAGGTGCCCGTGAGTGTATGGGGTCTGTGCTGGACAAGGACTCTGAATCAAACACAGCTACTGGAGTCTGGGTGGCACAGCACGGTGAATCCGGAATTGTAGGCAGAGGCTTGAGTTCCAATCCTGGTGCTCCATTTTCTAGAGGCAGACCTTGGTCAGGTCACTGCCTCTCTCTGATTCTATTTCATTAAGTGCAACAAGAGTGACTATGCTTACCTCCCAGATATGTGAGGAGCCCTGACATGGTCTTGGCCACTAGTATACACTCATTAGTGACCCTTTCCCACTTCACTAAGTGCTTATGGGAAAGATGCCATGAAATCAAGCTACAGAAAAACCCAGAAAACCTTGCTCCTTTTTGTCAATTCTACTGACATGAAGATGGTCAGAGAGGGTTTGCCAAATAGGCCTTTTCATATTTTTACAATCTTCTGTTTCGCTTTTAGTTGAAATATTAAAAAAATAAAACTCTTCCTAATTCAGGAAAAGAAAAGGAATTCAAAAGCTCAGACCAGCTATGGTAACAACAGAAAACAAGAGCAAAGGGAAGAGAAATAAAATGGAAATATGTGTCCTCACATCAAAGTATCAAGGTGAATGTATGGATTATAATACACGCATGATGTGCCCATGCTTTTTCTAGATTTCTGAATAATGCAGTCCTCATGTGGGTGTGGGAGGGAGTGGTCCAAGACATTAGCTCAGTGCTGATGGCTACTGTTGGCTTTTAGGAATCTTAACTCTTTCCAACTGGGCAGAAAAGGGCACCTGTGGACCCCTTGTGGTCTGGTTGTGCTGTGCTCATAGGCATCTCTGCCACCTACCTTTTCAAACACAGGGAAGTATCTAATGGTAGCCTTCTGGGCCATGTTAGCCACTTCCTTTTGTTGATCGTCTGGTTTTAAGAAAGGATGCATGATGAGCAGTTCCAACAGATCCAGTGTCCCCTCCACGTACATGTCAATCCTTCAAACGGAAAAGCAGGTTTCTCAGTCTCCCCTCTCTTCAAACTCATCATTTTCCATAATAAAGAATTCAGAGCGGTTTTTTGTTTGCTTGTTTTTTGTTTCACGGTTGGTTCTAGCAACCTAAGCACTAAGAATAGTTCACCTCCACCTGTTTCTAAGTGCAAAGGTGCAAAGTAAATCCTAGTTATAGCTTGAAAAAATCCTTCGGGAAAATCTGTCAAAAATCAGACAGCTTGACAGTCATGACCACTTTCTCCCCCTGGCTCCTACTCCTCTACTCTCACTCCAAAACCCATGCTGTGGTCTCCAGGTACAGGATGAATTTCACATTGAACTTCACACTTAGAAAATTAAGGAACAATACTTATTGAATGCTTGGAGCACACAAGGCATGGAATAAACACTCATACCTACTATCTCATTGAATCCCACTGTACTATGAAGAATGTAGCATTTTCTACCAATCCAGAAATAGGAGGCTAACACTTTGTACAGTGCCGTGCATCTGGGAGGGGCAAGAATCAAGCTTTGAGTTCAAATTATAATCCCATGCACACTATTTCAGATCATGAATGTCACCGTAGTTTCCCATTCTGAAAGCTGATACCAAATTAGTAAGGAAGGTAAAAAGCAGTACCAAAGTATTAACGGAGAGCCAGACACCGATGGCTTACACCTGTAATCCTAGCTACTTGGGAGGCCCAGATTACGAGGATCAAGTTTCGAGGACACCCTGGGCAAATAGTTGTTGAGATCCCCGTCTCCAAAATAACCAGAGCAAAATGGACTGGAGGTATAGCTCAAGCAGTAGAGCACCTGCTTTGCAACATGAAGCCCTGAGTTCACACCCCAGTACCACCAAAAGAAGAAAAAAACTATTAACAGAAGTTGAAATCTGAAATAACAACATCCTAGTATGGTATTTGATATCAGAATTCTTTTCTATAATTTAACGTCAATGTAATCATAAGCCCCAAAGACAGAATATTTAAAAATTAAAATCCTGAATGTAAAACCCTGAAAGTGAATTTTTCTTTTTAGTTTGTGTTTGAGGGGGGTTGAGTTTCTCCTCCCCCCACTATTTTAAATCACCAGCATTAGTTTTTATAATTTGGCATGATCTGTTTTTTTATCACTTACAATACTGGAGGTATAGCATGCATAAAGACTTTTATGTATTGTACATTGTGAGTCTCTGAAAAGTAGATTGTCTCAAGGTCAAGTTTGTAAGTCCTGGCCATGGACACAAAAACACTGAATTTCCTCAACAAATGAAGAGATACCCTTTTTATACATCTGCATCTGTGAAAGATAAAATCCCTCCAGACCTCAGCTCTTTGGGTGACTGCACAAGTGAACCATCTTGAAAAAATGTCTTAGGATGTCTGTTACCATCCCACATGACCACATTGTAAAGCTGTGTGCACACAATTACCAATCACGGTTATATGAATTTATACAGTTCACTTTTGTCCTATTCTTATCAGTGCTGTTCATCAACTCCTGTTATATCCACATAACTCACATAACTCAGATACATACTCTTTGTGTAGCTGAATGTTTATGCTTTTGAAAATGTTACCATTGCCTATTTTATTGTGAAAAGTAGCTTATGGAATGTTCTGCCATGTTTTTACATGTTTCTCAAATAAATACTCTTTAAAAATATAAATAGTTATCTTTTCAGTAATTTTTTTTGTTTTATTTTATTGGTGGTACTTGGGTTTGAACTCAAGGCCTCATGCTTGCTAGGCAGGCACTCTTCAAAAAAATTTTTTTTCCGAAATTATATTTTTAGGACTTGTTCTTTAGGGATTTTAGACTTTAAGGTGTTTGGTGGGACTGGGGTTTGATCTTAGGGCTTTGTGCTTGCAAAGCAGGAACTCTACCACTTGAGCCACACCTCCTAGACTTCCAGGATTTTGATGTCTCAGGATTTCAACATTCAAGATCATGACAATTGGGACTGTGTCTTTAGGAATTATGGTCCAGCCTGTTTTACTGACTCTTTGCACTGAATTTCAAATTGGTCTTCATGGCCTTTCTGGGTTTCTGGTCCTTATTCCCACTAAGGATACAAACATAAAGGAGGAGAGATGTGCTGCAGAACACTGCTAGTCAGCTAACGCATCAGAAAGGTGACAAGCAAGGACAGTCAAGAGGAGCCACAGTACAGGGTTCTCTCCTTGAGATCCCTGCCAAAGAGCTGGTGCTTTTCTGCTATGTAGTGAAGAATGCTTCGTGTCTGCACCAACTTCATCCCGTCGATCTCAACCATGGGCACTTGTTGGAACAGCAGGTGGTCACCTGAGAAAGGAATCCAGAGTTAGAAGTGATCCTCTTCCTGTTCTCCAACCCCTAAGAAAGTTTGTGAAAAGGGATAGTGAGGCTACAGCCTTAGGAAACACCGTAAAAGTCTCTGATGGCAGACAACCACCTTAACTTCATTTGGGGGACCAGGTTTTGCTATAAACAAAGCCTAAAAACTAGCATAGTTGTAAACTTTCCCTTTTCACTTTCACCCCAGAAATAAAGTCCTATACCCCCAGAGACAAGGGGTGGGATGAGGGCAACACAGTGAGGACTTCTTCAGAGCTGCACTGGGGAATATAGTAGCCACTAGCTACATGTGGTATTTAAACCTAAATTTAAATAATTAAAATGCTGAAAAATTAAAACTCAGTTCCTCAGTTTCACTAGACACACTTGAAGTGCTCAGCAGTCATATGTGGGCAATGGCATCTCCTTTGGACAGTGCACAATGGACACTTCTGTCACTGCAGTAGACACTGTGCAGTGTCTGTGTAGTGTGTGATCATGAAGTCTGAGGTTCTGCCGACACTCACACCAAGTCTGCTGTCACTGGTATTTCTTCAACAAACCTATATAACAAATACCACATACCAAACCGTGGGGCAAAATGCAGACACAGAATTCAGGCCAGCCCTTGAGGGGCCAGGCTCTGGGGACAGGCGAGGACAGAAGGCACATGCTTAAGGACTAGAAACTAGTGCCATACATGAATGGTGGCATTACAGTCCTGGGGATCTGATACCCCTCCAGGGAGGCTTAAGTTGGGCCTGGTCCTGCTGATGGCTGGCTGCTAATGGTTCCCATCAAAAGGATAGGTGCAGAGGGAACAGGGCTGACCAGAGACTAAAAGGCCTGTTTTTTATTTAACTTCTGTTTGATAAGCAGCAGAGGACCTCAGATAGTATGAAAGAGATGGATGACATGAGGAGGAGGGGAGGGGCAAGTGGGAGAAAGGAAGGGACAGAGAGGGATTGGAGGGGGAGAGGAGAGGCGACTGGGATGGAGAAGGGCTGTTTACCTGGATGGTGAAGGAACTACTCTCACCCTTCACCAACTTCTACAAAACTCCTGAACAGGAAGTAACTTTCTGGAAATTTCACTTGCTCTTGCTTTTCTGATTTTAGGATACTACTCTTAATGTCTTCATCATCTTTTCCACATAAATATCAGTTCTTTTAAAAAGAATCAGTAGCATATACAATTTCATTTTCATACTCACCATCCTGCAACTTCTGCAATTGTTCTTTTGTTTCCAAAAATTCTTCATCAAACTAAATTAAAAAAAAAGATTAACCCCCCCCCAAAAAAAAGGTAAGTGTCATTAACAGGTGCAGGACTGAAAACACCAAGTTAAATTGCCTTAAGAAGCAGAGAAAGAACACACTTAGCTTCCACATCTTGGTCTCTCAATATCACTGACCAGGAAAATGAACTAAGAATACTACAAAAAAGGCTGATTCTGTCATGCCAGAAAGCTGGGATGTGCTCAAAGATGAAAGAGATATGTCAAAGGCAAAGGCATGGAGAACCAATCTTATCCGAGGGATCCCCTAATCAAGTTCAGGATGTTCCAAGCATTGAAAATGATGATATCAGGTATGGATTATAACATACCTAATAAAATCCCTATCCCCAAAAATGATGAGACCAAGAAAGGGAAGAGGGGAGTAAAAGCTCTGTTTTGCAGAAGACTCAGTGCTGATTAATGGAGAATTAGTGCCAATTAATAAAAACAATTAGAAAATCACGAACTTGCAAACTACAGTGTAATAACTAACTCATTCTAATCCATAATGGATGCTGAAATGATTGCAGTAGAGGACAGTCCCACAATTTCCAAGTACCACCTCACAATTTACTTATGATAAGGAGAAAGTCTATCTTTAAAAAGGAAAGGTGTGGAGATATCACCATCTATCTAACAATCAAACTTAGCTCTGCAATGGGGTGAACTGGGACCTCCTGTTTTTCCTGCTGTGACACACGAGAAGGGCAGTAAAACACTTGTAAAAACACTGCCAGAACCAGTTAACCTGAACCCAATCATAAGGTAGAAATCGGCAGATCCAGGACCCGGAATATTCTGTGTCATAATGACCTGGACTCTTCAAAAGCTAAGGGCAGGGAAAAAAAAAAAAGGCAAGTACCATTCTCAAGGTAAAGCAATTAAGGGGAAATACAACCAAATGCCTGAATTTGATCCAAGTGGAGGGGACATTACTACAACTGAATGGAGATATAACTGTAACATAGACACTGGGGGACACACATTGCATGTTGTAAACTTTGTGTTAAGTTTCTTAGTGGTGACAATGGTACTGTGCTTATTTATTCTTTCTTAGGAGGGAGATACATCCAGGAAAAAAAAAAAAAAGGCAAGAGAGGAAGGGAGAAAGCAAATGTAGCAAAACATAAAAACATTAACAATTGGAAAATGAGTTAAAGACACCTATGGTGTGATCACAACTTTTCTATAGATTTGAAAGTTTTCAGATTTGAAAGAAACAGAATGAAAACAAGTTCCTCTTCTGGTGACATTAGGAAACATGTTCTAAAAAGTACTGTATCAATGCCCTTTGTTTCAAAGTCCCCAAGTGGGTGGGGACTGTACTCCGGGGTCACCAGAGGGGGCCAGGATGGAACACCCAAGTGTCGGGCAGGCCTCTACTCCTCTGTCTGTACTAGCTGACCTGGGGCAGGACTGGGATGATGGGGTGTAGACTTGGCTTCTGTTACTCACTCAAGAACTTGTAGTGTGAGAAGGGCCTCAGTTTCCTAGAGGAGCTCCATCTGAGGCCCACTGGGCAGGGGCTTTAGGACATGTGTACTAATACGACCCAGCCAGCAGAGGCGGCACGGGTGTAAGTACTCTATATGCCACTGTTTCTCAAGCTTTTATGGACATGAGCACATGGGAAGGTAGTGGAGGAGTAAAACCCCAGACCCATGTCTCAGAGAGTAACATTCTAGTCCATGTGGGAAGACACAGAAACGTGCATTTTTAAAAAGCAGGTCCTTCCAAATTATTCTGATTTAATCTTGTTTTTTTTTGTGGTACTGGGGCTTGAACTCGGAGTCTTCACCTTGAGCCACTCCACCAGCCCAATTTTTTTGTGATAGGGTTTTTCAAGATAGAGTCTTGCAAACTGTTTGCCTGGGCTGGCTTCGAACTGCAATCCTCTTAATCTCTGCCTCCTTGAGTAGCTAGGATTACAGGCATGAGCCACCAGCGCCTGGCTGATTCTGATTTTTTTTAAGTTTTTTTGACTTGTTGAGACTTGATGATACTGATTTTTTGCTTCTGAGAACGCATGTGTAAAGTGTGTGTTATCTCTCACTGGGAAAGCTTCGTATTGAGCTTTTTTTGTAAAGAAGACCCACTGGAACAGGGATGAGGATGGAGGGGGGGAAGGAAAAATCCTCAGAGCTTGGAGGGTACATGGCAATGCTGGCTGAGCTGTAGCCCACGGCAGCCATGACAGAGACAGCGCCGTGATTTCTAGCCACATGGTCACCTGTCTTTGCTCCCTAGCCTGGGGTGAAGTTACCCATGTAATGTTCTACAGAGAACTCTCCATCCACACCAAATCATCCCCTTCTCCAACTCCTCAGCCATTCCTCAGAAGCCCTGAATCTGGAGTCCTTAGACTTAAGTCATCTCTTGTATTCATGTCACTTTTCCTCAACATGGGAATTAGGGGATTTTCTAAGGGGTTGGAGGCAAACAAAGTCCCAAGCATCAAAGACCAGCATAACAAAGACCAACAATCAGCATAGAGCAATGTCAGTGGGGACTCAAACCAAGAGATGGATTGAGACGGAGGATGCTTGCTGACTCCCCAGATTAGGACTGTTAGATATTCAGATGTGCAGGTCTTCCACACCAGGCACAGCCACTCAATCCTGGGACACTGGGAATCACAAACTTGTCTAATACCTGCCAGCCAGTACCTCTCAAGGATTTCAGATCTACCAGAGCACAAAATTTGCTAAAACTGTCCTTTGTCAAAGTGATGAGGAGGCAGTGATCCCCCCATATCATATCCTTTGGGAATTGACCCTAGTGAGGGGAGCCAACCTAGCTCTCTTCACCCCAGTATATAGGGTGGGCTGGAGACCCCACTGGGCCCATTATTTTACCCCATCCGCCTGCCCACTGGGATTGGTCTGGGGTAGGTGGTCATGTTCTTTTTTCTTTTTTTTTTTAACTTACTTAAGGTTGGGATTCTATTACTGTAACAAAGAATCTTGACTTGCAGGAGAGTAGAAGCAGCAGGGTGGAATGAAGACAGGAAAGAAAGAGAGTTTGACAAAGGATGATATTGCGTACGTATATAAGACATCCATCCAAAACCTATAAAACAAATCGAGTTACTAACTCAGAAGCCTTGTTTCAGGGTGAGACAAGTGACATAAGTAAATGATGTCAACCTGCTTCAGTCCTGGGACCATGAATTTCTTCACTCTCCTCCAAACACAATGAGAAAATAAATGCTGAGACAGTGAGTGGTGGGAAGTTCTTATTCAGAGCTAGCATTCGCTGCTCTGTAGAAATGAGGGCCCACCAGCCACAGGTCTTCCAATTTCCTAACAGACATCAGAAATCAGGACTTTTAGGTAAAAATGGATATTACTGTGTGGCAAGTTACAATGGTATGCAAAAAATTTTTAAAAAGCCTATGAGCAAAACCCCAAATCTTTGTCATTTTTGGGAGTTGTTAGTATAATAATTCATTCTGAAATTTTATAAAGTGGAACAAACACTTATCTAACCTTTTCTATATAAACTGTACTTCAAGGTAATTAAATAGTTAAAGAGTAAAAATTACTCATTGTAAGAGAATCATTAATAAATTCAGCTGAAATGTCAGAATTAGAAAAACCACTATTGTGTAATCCCTATCCATGATGACAACTAATAGCTGCCAAAATCATTAGTTGAACAGGTGATGGGGGAATCTATCCTGTAAGCGTGTGCATCAGGTTGACAGGGACGCAGTGGTTAAGCTCAGCATCTCTGAAAACCAAACCACGAGCAGCCCTTGAAGTGGCACGATAGAAATACACTCATAGTATCTCCTCTGACTTAAGTCTGCCAGGAAAAGTAGACATGGAGGTTTTAACCTTGAGGTCAACAAGTCAAATCCAGAATGAGGGGGGCAGGGATTCTAGAGAGTTGTTTCTTCCACAAATAAACGGTTCAGAAACAAATCAATACCCAGCACCCAGATACTGGTTTTGAATGCAATTTCCTATCAAGACGGACCAGGACATCTTGAAGAAATGCCTGATTCTAGGGAGAGGGCAGTGAAAATCCAGAATGAGCCTAGAGCATCTCGTAGTGTCAGAGTAATGAAGTGCTGAGAAGAAAACAAAAGGGATAGTTAAGATCCCCAATGCCAAAGCAATAAATAAATGGAAGGGAGGGTGGAGCCTGACCTTCCTTATGTAAGATTCTGAATGGAAACACTGCCTCCTCAGGTGGTAGAGCTTAGCTCCCATCATTTTGAATGTGGGTGGAACTTAATGATTTGTTTCCAAAAACAGGGAAAAACGGTGACATGACAACAGAGACCACGGCAGATTCTGGACTCCATTAACCAAATAATCAAGGTAGCAACAGACAGGGACAATTCATGTTGATATAATTTAACTCCTGATAGGATGCAAAGTTTGTTTCCCTCAAACTTTGACATTTTTTGGAAAGAAAAATGTCAAACAAATCCAAACTATGGAGGATTCTACAAAAATATCTGACCAGTACTTTTCAAGACTGTCAGCCAGCTGAAATAAAGGAAAAGCCAAGAAACTGAGAGCGACTAAGGAAGATGACTAACTTCAATGTTAGACCCTGGAAGAGAAAAGAACATTAGTGGGAAAACAGTGAAAGCCAGGTGTGCCCCACGCTAATTTCTTACTTTGACACAGTTATGTAAGGTGCTATTCTTAGGAGAGACTGGGGATTTTATGGCACAACTTTACAACTTTCCTATACATATACAATTATTCCCAAATATAGTTTGCCTTTAAAACACAGAGGAAACCGTTACAGATTTTTTAGATACTGGAAGGATCATAACCAAATGCAATATGTAGACCTTGTTTAGACTAAGGCAAACCAACCATTAAAAAATCTGCTTGAGACCATCAGACTGGGTGTTAGGTAGTAACAAGGAACCTCTCATGTTGTAGGTATGATAAAGTCATTGTTATGTTTTTAAATCCTCGCTTGTGAGAAATAAATATTGAAGTACAGTACTCCCAGACAAAACAATACAATGTTTGGGTTTGGGTTTGAAATACTCCCAGAAGTGGGAGGGAGGAGACAGAGAAGGCAAGACTAACATAAAACTGATGACCTGGGGTCATGGGTGCAGGTGTGCAATTTACAGCAATGTTCTCCTTATGTCTGTTTGCATTCAAACATTGCCATAAGAAACTAAAAGAATAAAAGGAAACCTGAAACCCCGTGTGGACCAGTGCTCACACATATGCAGTCAAGAAGCCAAGGCTACAAATTTGAAAGCACAGAACCAGGAAATTTACCCAGAGATTGTATAATTAATAAAAGTTCAGGGAGAAACTGGCAATTTTCAGGTTAACACCCTTTCTCCTTATTAATAAATATTTATCGGCGGTGGATCAGAAACCAATGATTAAGCAAAAGTTAAAAGGGAAGTAGAATTCCATCAATTACATTCCCTTTACAAAGAAAGGTCCCCGGACAGAACCGAATCTTGACTCAATGGAGCACAGCTGGGATTTTGATGGCAGAGGATTAAGTGCTTGCTCACAAACATTTCTTCTTCGCCAAGGTCTCAAAGTTATTTGGCAAATCTGTGAAGAAACAGTGGGGTCGGGTACCTCAACTCCAGCGGCAGCTAAAACCCATCTCACGGATTCCATGCGGCCTCTTCCATTGGGGTAGTGCAGCTTGGGCCTCGAGGCCATGGTGGCCTTTCGGGTTTTCTGAAAAACAAATGCAGGAGCAGCTCCTCATACGCGAAGGGTCCTAAAATATCGTGTCATTAGTGCTCAGAGCCTAACTGGTTATACAGCACTCTGGCGCGGAAAACCGTTTTCTTTTATTTGCTGCGGTTTCCCTGGCTCAATAAATACATGCTATCATTTTATCACATGGAAGAAAAAAGAAAACAGCCTTGGCTTTCCTATTGTGTCTACTTATGATTTCTTATTCTGGATCTTGGGAAACTGGGGCTATTTGTCGCAAAGACATTTATTCTGTGTGGCATTTCACAGATCCAGGACAAAATGTCACTTGACCTTGAGAAGCTACCATTTTCCAAATTTAGCTTGGAGGGGCAAGTGGCGTGGAGATGGGGGAACAGGGGCGCAGAGGGAACTGCACACCTCCTGGAACCTCCAAGCATTCGCGGTTTTACACGCACCGTCCCATGTCATCCCGGCGGCAGGGAGGTGACAGGCCTATTACTGTTGCCTGCAAAACGTGCGTCCATCACCGCGCCCGCGGTGGCTGCACCCGGGACCCGCGCGAGCTGCGTCCCTCCAGGCAGAGGAGACCCCAGCTCGCCAAATGCGCCCAGGCCACATTAGGCCATCTGGTACTAACTGCCAGGCCTGATGGAGACGATCCGAGTCTCCCTTCCACCAGTGGATTCGGACTCCATGGAAGGGTTTAAAGAAGACGCGTAGACTGAGCCCAGAATGACTCCAGTCCCAGTCAAGGGGCCCAGATGGGGCGGGAGCGCAAAGGACCAGAGGGAAGCAGACAAGAGAAGATGAATGGTGCGGGGGCGAGGGACGGATGGGAGAGTGGGGGGAGGAAGAACGGCGAGGCGGGAACGGCGGTGGGGTGGCGGGAGGACGACAGACCTGGAGTCACTCGGAGATCCGCGAGCCGCACAAAGCGCTGGTCGCTGCGCCCAGCCCTGCTGGCAGAGGCGAGGCCGCGAGGTGCTGTGCAGGGGCGCGGCTCCGGGAGGATCTCACCAATAGAGACCACGGTGTTTAGCATGCCCCTCCCAGCTGCAAGGCATTGTGGATAATGTGCAAACAGCCCCAATTTCAGTCGCTTTCATCTCAATTTTAGGATTTGGGTAGGAAAAGTACCTTTTCTCGTGCTGAAAAGGTATGGTTTTAAAGCGTGTTAAAGATACAGCAGCGTAGGCAAACTCAGCCGATGTGTAAAGTGGCAAGGGTCTCTTGGGTTTATATATTTTCCCGCACACCAGTCTGCTCGGATGTGAGGGCGATCTGGCTGCGACATCTGTCACCCCATTGATCGCCAGGGTTGATTCGGCTGATCTGGCTGGCTAGGCGGGTGTCCCCTTCCTCCCTCACCGCTCCATGTGCGTCCCTCCCGAAGCTGCGCGCTCGGTCGAAGAGGACGACCATCCCCGATAGAGGAGGACCGTTCTTCGGTCAAGGGTATACGAGTAGCTGCGCTCCCCTGCTAGAACCTCCAAACAAGCTCTCAAGGTCCATTTGTAGGAGAACGTAGGGTAGTCAAGCTTCCAAGACTCCAGACACATCCAAATGAGGCGCTGCACGTGGCAGTCTGCCTTTCTTTTCACCCTGGAATTTTGCGCATACATTCGGATACATTGTTTCCTTTTTTTCTTGCTTGGGCCCCGGGTCATCTTGAGTATTTCCTTCCGTTTGTACATTTTAGAGACCTGAGCCCTGAGCCATGGCCAAACACCGTTTGGGAGGAGTACTGCTGGGAATGGCGCTTAAAAAGAAACACATGATTTTAAAAAAAAGCCAGCGATGACTCACTCAGAAGACAGGGGTGAGGATGGCTCAAATTGGCGGTAGAAGGATGAACTCACCCAGAGAAAGTACGTCCAGTAAGAGGAGAAGCAACCCCAGACAACCGGACACCCCAAGTCAGAAAAACCGCTGTAAAATGAGACCGATGGTAGCTGTCCCATTTCATCTTTCCAATTCTGACCTACCACAGAAACTACTCAGGTTGACATGGGTAGAAATCCGGATTTTCTAGCTCAACTGAACGTGATCTTTATTTATTCCAATGCATCTTTGCACAAGTGTTCACTTTAATTGAACTAGACACGACACGTAATTATTTAGCTTTGCCGATAAGCCAAACATGACTCTCCATTTCATTAGTTCTAACTGGTTGGATCACGTTAAATTGCTGACATTTTACTATTGTCTTTCACTTTCAGAAATGGCGATTTCGTATGTCCAATCCGATAAACTGGGAAGGAGGGGGGAATAGCATCATCACTGTTCACTTGAAAGAGTAACTAAGGCAGTGTATGTAATACCACTCTATAGAAATATGAAAAATCCCATTGCAATAATTATGCCATTTTCTGGGGGTACTCTAGAGCTCTTCCATTTGTTGGAAGCCCTGAAATCACCCTGTTCTTGGAGATCCTTGAAGTTGCCCTTGGCCCGAGAGTCTGATTCAGTGTCTACCTACCTACTGATACACTTTCAGAGGCCTGGGGAAGTCTGCTCAGACTTAACCTTCACCTGTCAATTCAGTAGTAGGTAAAATTCCTTTAGCAAAAATCAGGAGCTTTAAATTTCAGTTGGAGGGAAGCTTTAAAGGAAGAGGGAAACAGTGGGCGTCAATTCAGCCTTAGTTATCAATGTCAGTATTAGATCCTAATCTAAAAGCAGATTTCACATCAGGAGGGGATAGCAGAGATCTGGAAATGGCTGGGTTTCGAAAGGGCTGGTGGTTCCAGCATGATCCCAGTTACATAATCACTGGTGATGGAAAGTAAGGTTACATTTAGGACTTCACCAACAGAGGTCTGGTTGGTAGGTCTTGTTCCTACAAAATTCTCACAATCATATTTAGATATAATAAATACTGAAAATGAACTTCCTGTAGTATCCTGCATGTAGTCCATGAATTATGGGTGTCTTTTAAACATTTAAAATTAAATGTCAATGTGCTGTGAAGAGGTTAAAAAAACAGCATGATAAAATCAGAAATAAGAAATTCTTTCACCCTGCTCTTTTTTAAAAATATCCCCAGGCATCTAACTTGCTAAAAGCTGAGCTAAAAGCAAAACAAAACAAAATCCCTCTACATTGCAAGATAACGCTTCATATTGCTGTTCTAAGTATATGCTTACAATTTCACAGCAGGGACTCTGCTAAGCATTAAAGAGCAATTAAAGGGATGTTTTAATATCAAAGTTCCAAATAAATTCATATCAACAGATTAGGAACTACTAAAGTTATCTCTGTGTGTGTGTGTGTTGCTGGGAATACAACCAAACATTCTACCCCTGAGTACACCACCAGCCCTAAAGTTATCTTTCGGTGAAGAATATGAAAACAAAATACTCAAATCAATTTTTTTTTAACTGTAACTTTATTTGGAACAGGAGAATTTTCCTTGCATAAAGTTAACACTATTGAACACCTTAGGAGAAATTATTCAAAAAGCAACATTTATTTCAGAAGGGTCTTGCTTCAGTGGTTTTTTTGTCCTGCTATCTTCTCATTATTCTGAATATATGCTTTATAAATAAATATATTCTTGTTTACTCTGCTGTAATCAAACCATGTCACTAAACTGATATCTGTACCGAGATAGCTGAGATCAGAAGACTTTTGTTCAGGTCAAGTTCCATTCACGTTAGTACTGTGTCTTTAAGAAACCAGCAACACCAATTAACATGAGGTTAGTCCCGGTTTGTCTTCTTAATGATTTCCATTAGAAGGCCCTCACAATAAATTACATAGCATATAGTACATTTGGTTGGAAGCTGTAAACACAATTCTAAAAATTATCCACATATATTAAACAAACAAGTTGCTACGGTATGCTTAAAATAATATAAAACAGTATGTCAAAATGTTTTCTTATAAACGTATTGCTTTTGGTTGAAACTTACAGCCTGCATTCCTTTTCTTCTCCCTTCTTTAAATGGCACAAAACAATGGCTTTATGATTGAGAAATGCTATTTCATAAGAAAACATGGTGGCCATTCATTCCAACAGTACCTGAATTTGCACTTAAAAATAGCAATTCAACCCCAGTGCCACCAAAACAAATTTAAAAAAAAAAGAGCAATTCTCATTTTGTGGGACGTGTTACAGTGATTGCATTCAAGACTTTACAATCTAGAAGACGACACTGTCACAGTTTTAGCTGGATGCAGATGTATCCACTAAAAAATTGTTTAAAGATCAATTTTCTGCCAACTCAAATCCTACCGCACTTGGGCTTGGTGACTAATGGAATTTTACTGCAAAGTGAATAATCATGCCAAGAATAGCTTTTGTGAAAATGCAGTTTCTCTGCTGTGCTTGCAACCAAACCTTTGGGTACGGGACGAGAGTCGCTGTGTGTACCATGACATCCCAGAAAGCTTTCTGACCACAAATGAGGTATAGGCATGGATCGGTACAGTTAAACTCATCACTCCTGGGGTGTCTTGCATTTCATTTTATACTTCTACAGTGACTAAAAACATGTGCAACAGGTAACATTTTATTTTCACTTAAAAATGATCACTATTTCTTTCTATACAACATAGCTTGCATACCCAATTTGTCCTTTACCTATTCAGAGAAGGGAGTACTTTGTAGGATTTTGCTAGTTCTTTAGAACTTAAATTGTCAGTCTTCTAGTTTTCTCAGTGGCACTTCTGTTTTTTGACTTTCATGTTAATAAATGTGCTTAGCAGTTGTTTGCTGGTAAACAAAGGACACAATAAAAGGAAGAAAATGAAATATTCTCTGTAGGTTGGCCCTACAAATGTATCAGGAAAACAATTTTATAATGTGTAATAACTAGGTTAACTAGGTTTTTCAATTTAAAAATGTGATAATCTTAATTAACACAAGCTAGAGTATAGAGAATATGATACTGACAATACTTTTGAGTGTCTAAGGGGTATTTACAGTTTCAAACTAGCTTTCCAGCAATCTGGGCCGAGTTTCAGACTATTTTACTTTTTATATATAATACAGGAAGAGAAAATAAATATTAACGTCACAGTCGAGGACTCATCTCTGAGAACACATTTTCTGTTACTTTAGAAAATGAGTTGGGAATATAATACAGAAATGAATTCAGCTTCAAGCTGTGCTTGCATATAGTTTCTGAAGCTCTGCCGCCAGTCCGTTAACAGGAAACTTACCCACCAAGTGCACACCCTTTCGTGCTGTTCCCACGCTCCTCAGCCCCATAGTGCTTGTTCAAGTGTATTTTTGAGTCAGACTCTCTCCAAAACATAAACTACTTCCTGATTGGGGGTTAGAGCCTTTTGTAAGTTAAGGTAATTGTTCAGGTTACATGAACATACTAAAGCAATCATTTACCAACTTACTAGATTGAACCACTGTAACCTATAAAAATGATCACTTTCTATGGTTTGCCTTGCCATATGCTGGAACCTGGAGCCCAGAGGGAGTAGTTTAAACCCTGAGAGAATGTGAGTCAATGCACTGTTGAGATTACATTATATTAACGTGGGTGTGCCACAAAGGGATGGATGACAGTGAACTTTCTGTCTTTTTCTGTCTCCAAACTAGCTTTGTCATTTGCAAAATTGCTGTAAACATTCCTCTCAATGGAACAGCCTCTGCCCAACAAACAGAGTTCTCACTCTTGAAAGAAACTGTACAAGTTAGGAGTTCAGGTGTGGCACACTAACATCGTGGCAACTGCGACTTCCTAGGTAAGTGGGACCCCTGCCCTAAGTCTTTTCTGCTCCCCGAATGGTGCTGAGAATTTGCCTAGACAGATTACTTACGAGCTGCTCCTAGCAATGTCTGGAGAACTGAGCTGAATGTAAAATCCCAACTTATTAAAACCAAAAATTGTTTGTTGCTTAGAAACTTAGATTTTTGCTCATTCATCTTGGCAGGGATTTAAGTTTAACTGACCATGTTAACCTTTATTTTGAGAACTTGATGACATAAAAAGCTTCCTTATTATACGTACTTATTGGTTTCAAAGTGGAAAAAAATAGAATGTGACCACTTAGTGTAAGTTGGCTTTCATTTGGATTTTATAATGCAAAATTGTAATATGCAATCACATTCAAGGGTGTTGCAAAAATTTCAACACATTGTTTATGTAGAGTTCTTTGTTTTGGGGAATAAAAATAAAGCAAAGCGAATTATATTAACAGTACATTTAGAAAAGCACAGTGGCACTTAAAAAAATCAAACCAATGACAGGCTATTAAGAAAAGCAGTGGGTCAATTACCTAAGGTCAGTCTAAGAAAGCCTGAAGTACCTAGTGAGCCACACTTAAAATGTAACCACTTCAAGATATCTGCACATATTGAGTAAATAATCCTTTATCTCATAGCCTTACATTGCACCCCTGTTGCAATACTGCATCAATATTATTACATTTTTTAAAATCTGTATAAAATATTATCTGGAACCCCAAAGGAAAAAAAAAATCACTTAATCTTTAAAAAGTTCATTACAAAGTTGACTGTATAAAATGCTAAAACATAATCCATATATACAAAATGCTATTGCTTAAGAAAATAATGGGACCCAGTTTTAGAATAAAATAATTTTATACAAAAAAGAGTATTTGCATTCAAATCAATATTCAAAACCAAAAACCTTAAAAAAGAATATTGAAATGTCTTAGTTCAGAAGAACAACTATAAAGGTTGGTTTTCTTCTGCATCCATCCACAGAGATGTTTCTTTGCACGTTTGCTGCGGGTGGAACACCAGTCAGCCGAGGTGAGTGTCCTGCTCCCCTCACGAAGGGCCTCGTGGCCCTCAGGTCATCGCCGAGAAGGGTACTTGGAAACCCAGTCTGTCCGGCCATGCACTGGCTGGACGGCTGGAGGCCGTGGGACCAACCCAGGGGTGCTTCTAGGCTGGGTGTGGAAGAAAGGTCGCCCAGGGTGAGGTCTCATAGTCTTCAAGGAAGAATAGCCTGCCAGGGAAGAGAAAAGTGTGCCTGACTGATAGAGACCCAGGTGAGCAAAGTGCAGGTACATGCACTGCAGTGACAAAAATGGCAGAAAGTCAGAAGGTCCAAGAGAAGTATTTGCCTCCTCTCGGTCTCCCTATCTCAGTTAAAGAGAACCCCATAGCTTGTCAAGCTGACAAGTCAAAAATATTGGTGTCATTTTTGACCCCTCTTTTGCTCATCTCCCACTTATAGTCTTCAGTAAATCCTCCTGGCTCTCCCTTCCAAGTATACCCAGAACCTTGCACCCAGTGCGTGGCTACCGTCCTGGCCCAGGCTGGCACCACTTCCCATCTGCAACAGGCGTCTGCTTCTCACTTTGCTCACACTTGGTCTTGTGACAGCCAGCAGTGTGGGTAACCCTGTGAAGATGACTGTTAGATCACATTACTCCTGTTCAGAGTCAAGAAAACACTCGGACAGTGGCTTGCTGCAGGGCCTCCGACCCTCAGGCCTCTTGTCACTCCTGACCTTCTCTTAGTACTACTTGTCTCTCACTCATGCCCATCCTGCACGCTGACCTCTTTGCTACCCCCTGAGTTTACCAGGCCTTTCTGCCCCTAAGGCTATACACTACAGAGTGTTGTCCTGTGTCTGCAACAATCTCAACCCTATTGCTTGCTTGCTTCCTCGCCTCCTTCAGATCTTTACCAAATGACTCCTTTGCAGTGAGCTCTTCTTTAGCTAAAATTACAATCTGCACCCCCATTCCCACCCCCACAATCCCTACTTCCTCCCTGCCTGCTTTATTTTTTCCTTAGCATGTATGAGCATCCAACTAAGTATATGGTCTATTTATCCAGCTCACTCATTGTCTGCAAAGTAAAATTTCCCCAGGTCAAGGACTTCTGTCTGTCTCAGTCAGCCTACACCATGCCTGGCACAAAGCAATTGTTCAGCACTGTTTGTTGAACTGATTCTTAAATAATTTGAACTAGAACTTACCAGGGGAAGGGTCTGTAATAGGCGCCAGGTGCACCCTCTGCATAGCAGAACCAATCTCTTTTTTCAGGAAGGAAGGGATATAATTTCCAGTCAGTCCACTAGAACTCGTAGAGCTGGAACCAACTGATTTGCAAAAGCAAAAGCTAATTACTACAAAAACACTTTCACACGACACCTTCAGGATTAAAGGATAATTAGTGCAGGACAGTAAAGAATGAGGTTGTTACTTATAGGGGGAAATTATTATTATGAGTAGAGCATTCCACATGACACACTGTGAGAAAGATGGAGGGGCAGACAGTACTGCTCCCACAGACAGCTACCAAGCAAAGAGTGGTTTGTTAATTAATGAAAGATGGCTGAGGGCTGGAGCACTGGCCTAGCATCGATCATCACTGCTGCTGCTGCTGCAAAAAAGACCTAATATTCAAATTAAAGAAAGAGGATATTCCCAAGCTGCTGGGACGCTGATATCAGAAAGATATCCATGTCTGCCTGGGAGAAAAATCCGTGAGACCCTATCTTCATCTGGGCATGGTAAAGCACACTTGTCGTTGGAAGCCCCAAATAGCAGGATCCAGGTCCAGGCCAGCATGGCAAAAAGTGCAGCCCTATCTCCAAAATAATCAGAGCAAAAAAGGCTGCAGATATGGCTCAAGCAACAGAGTGCCTGACTAGCAAGTGCAAAGCCCTGAGTTTGAATTCCACAGTAGCAAAAAAAAAAAAAAAAGAGGATATTTGGTATTTTTCTTTATATTTTATAAAAGTAAATTCACCTGTTCTGAAACTTGCTTTTCTCACTCCATACATAGAATATCCTTCCATGTCAGAATATAAATTGTGAAGCATGGCTAAACAAAATTCACTTAAACCATTATTCTCTTACTAATCAACACATAGGCTATCTTAATTATTTGGTAACTATAAATAAACACTAAATATTCTTGTTGATAATCAGAAAAATTAACCATTAATAAAAACATTAAATCCAGCATTGTTGTTTCATTTCTTTTTGTTTGTTTGTTTTGTTGTTGTTTTGAGTCAGGGTCTCGAGATGTATTGCAGGTTGGCCTTACAATTCCCCTACCTCAGCCTCTGGAGTGCTGAGATTATAGGCATGTACCACCACACTCAGCTTCTTTATATCGTTTCTGTCGGAGAATGTGTTACGGGCAGGGACTGTCTGCTACTTACATTTGTATTCTGAGAAGTTAATGACATGACTTGCACATAGCAGGTAACCAATTAATACTGAACAGGTGAATGAATGTCTATAGTGCTTATTGCTAAGGCTTAAAAGTACACAAGGGATAATGTCATTACTAGAAATTATACAACTAGAGTTCCATCTATGAGGAAGAGTTAATAAGTGGTGCGGCTGCTCTGTCTATACAACACAGAAGATGCTCAGTAGCTGCTTAGGACGGTGTGGGGAAAGCAGCCAGGAATGCTGACAGAGGAGGAGTGATGGTGCTAGCCAGCTGGAGGGCATTTGGCATTTTTGGTGAATAAAGAGATATGAAGACATATAGAAAGAGAATTTGAACAGGTAAGTCAGAAATGAAAAAAAAAAACCAAAAACCCAGAATCAATAAACACAAGAAAAGGTGATTAACTTCATTACTAAGCAAGGCATGCAAGTTTAAGCCTCAGACACCATCTCCCACCCTGGGATTAACATGAGGTCCAGTTCTGAGGTACCCAGGGATGACATGTAAGCCCTACACCCTGCTGGGGAGCAATCCAGCACCACCTGTGAAGGCCAAGAGGAGCACACCTGCTACCAAAGGTGTTCACTCCACCGGGGAAGCCCTGGTCAACACGTGCACAGCAGGGGTCCCTTTCACGGCAGAAGTCTTTGTTTTGTTTTGTTTCACTGGTGTTGGAACTGGGGTTTGCACTGAGGGCCTCCTCTTAGGCAGATGCTCTGTTACGTGAGCCATGCCTGCAGCACATCTTTGCTTTCTTATATTTTTTCTTTTGGATAGGGTCTTGTGTTTTTGCCTGGTGCCAGCCCTGGACTATGACCCTCCTACCCGAGGCCTCCTGTGTAGCTAGGATTACACACATGCACCACCACTCCCAGCTTGTTTGTGGAGATGGGGCATTAATAACTTCATTTGTTGCCTGACTGGCCTCCTGACCTCTACCTCCCAAATAACTGGGAAGTGAGCCGACACACCGGGCTCATCTTAGCAGACTTTCTACTAGCAAAAATTATAAACAATTTATGTGTTTGTCAAGAAGAGAAGGAATAACTAAAGGTCTAGTATAAATAATAAATGATGGCATTATATACATGTTATATAATCTGTTATACATGTCTATATATATACTATACATCTATTTATGAAAATGAATGACATGCCACTCCAGGATCATGTCCACATAAACTTTAAAACATGAAAAACCAGACTATGCACTTCACGCATGTGTATTTTTTTAAATTCATAGGAACAATATCTAAGTCAGGTTGGGAAGGGCTATGCGGACGGAACAGCCTAGCCATTGGGCTTTAAGTTTGAATTGGATTTTACTTCTTTTTTTTTTTTTAATTTGGTTTTAATGAGACAGAATCTCATTAGGTAGCCTATGCTGGGCTGGCTTGGAACTGTCCATGTAGCCCCAGGTTGACCTCGAACTCGCGATCCTCCTGCTTTCGCCTTCCAAACACTTTCCAAGAAATAACAGGCATGCACCACCCTGCCCAGCTCCCACAGTTTGACTCCATTCTTAAACTGGATGGTGGGAATATGAGATTGATACGTTGTCTCTTTCTTGTTTGTATTCCTTAAAATAAATGAGCCTCAACGGACGATGGTGGGGATGTGAGGGTCAGATGTTCACTCGGCACTGTGGAAGGGGAGCAGTGCATGGCAGAGGCTGCCTGTGTGGGGAACGAAATGTGGGAACAGGGTTAATTGCTCAGAGGACTTATTAACAAAAAAAGTGGGGAGGGCCTTCAAACTGACCACCTCCAACCAGAAGGGATTCTGATGCCCTGGGCCTAAGGTTGGTTCATCTGACAGAGAGTTTGAGCTGGGACCAGGAAGATGGAGACTTTGTAAGTCTGTAAGGTTACTTTTGTTTTTCCCTTGAGCTGAGGGCAGAAGACAGGCTGCAAGAGTCCCGTGTCTTCACACCAAAGAGGCCTCCTCCCGCACCGCTCTGTATCCATCTTGCCACATCCAGAGAATTTTCTATTTGTCATTTAGCAGTTGATAATCATCACTCACCTGAATTTATCTTGCTGATTACTGATACTGTCCCTGAAGACTTTCCAGAACTGGACCATGGATTGGATGAAATAAAATCCTTTCCTGGATTTGGAAGCATGCCATTTCTTATATTTATTCCTGATAGAGAAGAAATGATTTTCAAATGCAAAATATGACAGACAAATGCATAAAGAAACTGTGGTATATTTATATAATGGAATTCTATTCAGCTCTAAAAAGAACACAATCTTGACATCTGCAATAACAAGGATGAGTCTGGAGGATATTATGCTAAGTAAAATAGCCAGCCATAGCTGGCAAAGTGGCTCAAGTGGCAGAACCCCTGCCCGGCAAGCATAAGGCCCTGAGTTCAAACTCCATACTGGAAAAAAAAAAATCCAGACATCCAAAAAGAAAAATATTGCAGGATCTGCAAGCAACTCAAATATACAGAGACAGGTAACAAAATAGTAGTTACCACAGGCAGGGATGGAGGGGTAAGAAAAGGGAGAAGACACAAGTCAGAGACCACAAAGAAGCAGATATGCAGGACGAATGAGTTCAAAGTTCTCACGTACAACACAAAGACCAAGGTAACCAAATTGTACTGCTTATGGGATTTGGGCTAAATGACTAGATTTTTAGCTGCTCTTTCCATAAAAACAAAGCAAACATGCGTAGCTACAAGGGATGATGGATATGTTAATTTCCCACAATAGAAAATTTCTGCTATCTGTATGTGACCCATAAAATAACGTCGTATGCCTTAGACAGACACAAAAGTTTATTTGAAATGCAAAATAAACATTTACTCTTACACCAGACTTCAGGAACAAAATGAACACAAAACCCAACTGTCTAAAAACTTCCAGGGGCACAGAAACTGACTAATGGTGCCATCTGATCAATGGCAAAAGAAAGACTCCAGTTTGAGTTGACTGTGTAGTCTAACTTGTGGGGGGCCTGAGAGAGGTTGTTTATTCTTCTATCAACACACCTGCCCCATGTCTTGACCTACTGGTGTCATCCTGGACTTTAGTACTCCTGGAAATTCTAATTTCCCCCTTCCTGGACCACTACTTTTCTGTCATTTTCCAGCTCCTCTCCATCCCTCTCCCTATCCCACTCCCACACCCGGCTCTGAAGTTGTCCGCTCTCCTTTCTGTGTCTGTCCCCTGAGGTTCCATCTCCTCACATGACATGAATTGTCTTCATCGTGTGTGACAACTTCACTCTGCCAACCCCACTCATCAATTCTGGTCCTTCATATCCAAGGCCTCCCCCAGGGCTGCCTTGGACTTGCCCTCAGGATAAACTACTTTCCTTCTGACTACCCCATGTTCCCACTTAACATTGGGCCCTGCAGCTATTCTTCAGAACTCAAAATCCAAAATCCTCTTTTATCCTTCTCCATCTTCCCTGTCAGTCCAAAAGAAGCAACTCTCCAATTTGCTCCGTGCTCCTTTCTCTATGTGGTCGCTCTTTTCCCTCACACTTAGGTCCCTCTATACCAGTCTCTCTTCTCCCAGGTTGTCCTGGGAAGTGTCAGGCCAATCCTGAGGAAGTCTGGCAGCATTTGCCATATTCCCCACTAGAGGGTGAAGAATTTAATGTCCCTGCTGTACAGGTCCCGTTCCTTCCTGATTGCCCCCCAAACCTATGTTCTCCTCACTTGGATACAGCTGTCACTTTCTGGCTCCTTACCTACTCATTACACGGATGAAGATAAACCCATATCCTACAATTAAACCCCTTCAAGAGTTTCCCATTTCTCATGAAAAGAAATCCACATTTCTTACCAGGCCCCCAAAGATGCCTCAGGCTACACTCTGTTGCTTCCTCTCTTACTGTACCTTGGGTACAGCTTGTAATTCCAGGAGTGACATGGTGTTTGACGTCTGTGTGCTGAGTAGGTATGAGAACCAATCTGGAAGTATACTTGCCTTCCAGAACAGAACCTTTATAAATATGTGATTCCAAGCACAAGCTTTCTTCTCAGTGACCAAAGTAAAAGCCAGTCATTTCTCTTACCAGGCAAGTATCGAGAGTGCTTCAAGTAGTGCTGTTTGGCTGCAGATCTCAGGGTTGGTGTGTCTTGCCTCTGATAGGAAGTCTGAGCGGGAGCACTATTTCCTGTACTCACGGGCTCGGAGGGTTTCAGGTCCAAAACACTCTCAAATCTGAATCAAGAGAAATGGCTTAACTCAGTAAGAGAAAGAGGCACAGGTAACCTCACAAATCCCAAATTCAGTCTGTTTACAGGTGCGAGCAGCCTACTTACCTGCAGAGAGCGTCATCACTCTGTCTGTTCTTATTTTTCAGGTCAATCCTGGTGAAGGATGGATTGAAATCTAAGTCATCCAACTCAGCCCAATCATCAGAATCCTTTGTTGACCTAGAAATAAGACCCCACCTTCTCCTACTCTTTGGCTTGATTTCTCCATTTCTGTGCTCCAGGCCAGCTAGGATTTTCTGTGTATACAAGGAGGGGTGGGGGAGAGCAATATCTGGCATTAATGAAATCCATCCATGAGAATTCTTCTTCTGAATTTGCTTTGTTATAAAAAGGAGAATCCTGGGGCACGACATTCTCCAATACGCATTGCTTATTTGAAAGGGCAATTGTAGAAAAACTAGTCCTGGACCTGTGTGTCACCTGTCCTGCACAGATTACACGGGATGTCATCCATTGAGTACGCTAAGTTACGTGGAACAAGGATCTGAGAAAGGAAATTTAAAACTCTCCTTACATACTAGGAAGGTGGAGGACTCTCACTCACTCTGGGCCTTATCCTTGACTTCTACTGTTACAAGTGACATGTAGGAGATTACTGCTAAGGTGCCAGCCATCTGCTCTTTTACAGAAAGCAATGAAAACAACACCTCCTATAGATTCTCTGTAGGCCTGGTTAATTCCTTTAACTATAGTATTAGCTACAAGAGGAAATTTCCAGACACATACCACTTCCTCATTGTGGGCAGGGATACAATGCCTAGAGATACTGGTCCCTAAATCTCCAATGGCATCCACATCATGCTTGTTGGGATCCTAGTGAAGACTCGTTGACAGAAAAAAGGACCTCTTTTGCATGAAGGTTGTGTAGAGTGTCAGACTCTTGACAGCGTTACAACATAATGACAACTATAATCCTTGTCAGGTTCTCACTCTACTAAGTCTAACACTCATCATTTCCTTTTGAAAACCAGCCCAAGAAAAGAAATATTGGGGTTTAATTAATAGCCCAGTGGTACCGACATCGATTTACAGAAGTGCCATGAATAAAAGTCTACGAAGATCAGTATGGCTCCTCAGGATTTTCAAAACATCTTCATAAGCATCGTGACCTTAGATCCTCATGGTCAACAACCCTGCCTGAAGGTCAGGACATGCATCATGACCTTCCTTCTATAGATGAGGAAACTGAGTCTACAGGGATTGATAATAACAATGACTAACACTTACTGAGTTCTAACTACATACCAGAAACTACTCTAAAATCTTTTCAGGTATTAACTTATTTAGTTAAAACAATTAAAAGAACAATTACAGGTAAATGCTAATATTATCACTATTTTACAGATGAGATAATGAGGAGTAGAGAAGCCAGGTAACCTTTTCAGGGTCATCAGGCTCTTAAACAGCAGAGCTGAGAGGTAAGATCCAGGCAATCTGGCTGTAGAGTCCAGCTCACCTCCACAGCCCCCCCAGGAGTGGTACTGTTATTAAAAGGAAAAGCCAGATTTTGAATTTAGACCTTGAGCCAAGGCTCTTTTCACAATTCCATACCATTGCAAAAGTGAATGTCTATATTATGGACTGAAAAAGAAAATCCTGCACACAGTACCTATGGTCAGAAGAGGTATAACACCTGACAGAGCTCACAGGGGAATCTTTGCACTTACTGACTGAGGAATTTTGTTGTGTAGGGATGGGAAAAGCAGTGGGCTTGGCTTGTCCTCCTGAAGATGGCTCTGCTGATCTGTCCTGGGGGCCTCTGCTTTGTAGGGGTACACGAGACACTGCGGGGGTTGGCTGGCTTGATGTGGTCGTGAAGAAATCCGTGCGTGTGGCTTGGTTGGGGGCTGAGCAGGAGGGGCTGGTTTGATGTGGGGATGTGGGCCTGCCTTTTCCAAGATGTTTTTCTGTGGCTTTCCTGGATCTTGGAGGCCTTGTACAGTGCTGCCTAGCGGGTGTCCAATATGAAAGTAAGGATAGCGAAGTGCCTGGAAGGAGAGATGAGGCATTAGGAGAAAAGTCTAGCCAGGACCGTAAAATATCACTGGACTATTTCTGGTCATCAGTTTATTGCAGGTTCTTAGCCCAAACCAACTGTAAAATAGCAACCTGAACTGGTAATAGCCCTTGTAACTTTCCATATCTAAGATACTATAAAATTTATGTACTGGATGCAGCACTTAAAAATATTTAGATAAAGCAACCCATTATTTCACTATTACCTTGGCTACTTCTAAAAGCATTCTCGCTCAACAGATGTGGGTTTTGTACCCAACTTGCTATGTGTCTTAAATATAATGTGTTAACCTTCTAAGTTCATTTTCTCATTCTGTAGAAAGATCTAAAGTAATATCAAACTGAAAAAGTCAAACAGAATGATCCTTGAGAACTCTGGAAATTCAAATACAAAGTAAACAGGAACATATGCTTTTGCGCCAGAAGCACCAAGAGTACAAATACACAATTTAGATAAACCTTCCCAACAAGACAAAGTTTAGTTACCAGTTGTTTTGGATAATCGACTTTTCTAGATAACCAAGGGATAAATCTTAAAGTGCTTAAATATTTTTTCCAAAATATTACCTATATTCCCTTATGTTTTTATATAGAAGCCATTGAAAATAATAAATCTTGATGAGTCGGTGACAATTATAAACATCTGCACTAGCTCTAAGTAAGTGTAGATACAGAGGCAGATAACATGAGTAACTCTGGCATCTAACTTGAAAAGCCCCTCTGTAGTCCCAGGCATTTTTACAAGTCTGGACTGATTTGGGGGTACTTTTAGTTTTCTGACACTATTTTTTTTGGCAGAAATGGAGTTTGAATTCAGGGCCTCACGCTTGCTAGGCAGGCATTCTTACAACTTGAGCCACTCCTTCAGCCAGTTTTTGTGATGGGTTTTCTTTGAGATGGGGTCTTGGAACTATTTGCCCAGAGCTGGCTTTGAACCGTGATCCTCCTGATCACTGTCTCCTGAGTAGCCGGCAGCATCTGGCATGATGTTATTCTTAAAAAGCATACATTCCTGTCTTGGTTCCGTGATAGAATCTTTTCTTTCATTTCTTATGTACATCCTTTTAAAAAGTGGCTTATCAGAAATCTTCCTTTCTGCCCTGAAACCATTTGTGAATTTCACCATCAGAAGTGCACTTCTGAGAGCTTTCCAGTCTCTTAGGACAGCCAGTCTTATGGCACCAGATGATAGCTCTTTGGGCCTTTGAAAAGTACTTTTCACCACTCCTTAATTAATTACTCCCCAACTTTCACAGCTGCCACTAATTCTAACATGACATTAACACTTCCGCTATGTAGCTGTCACTTTCATTAGCCAAATCATCCCTGACTAAAACTGATCACTTATTTGATGCCCTGAGCAGTATAAGCATCAATGAGGCCAAACACAACTACTGCAAAAAGAGGCTTGCAGGAGGCAGGTGAGTGGGGAGAGTCACAGCGTTACCACTCCTCTTCTGGGTGCATTTCATAATTCAGTCAAAGTGCCCTGGGGAGGGTGGTGAGAAGGCATTCAGAAGACTGGCCATCTGCACGGCTGGACTACAACTGCTTACACTATCTGTACTAGTGACTAGGAAGTGATTAGGGCAGATCACTCAAACTTTCTCACCTTTCTCACATCAGTGAAAACACACGTCTCTCTCAAGGAGTCTTCATCAGGTCAAAATCACAAAATATACCAAAGCATTTACAAAATGTAATGCTTTGTATAACATTGTTATGGACGATGTGAACTATGTGCTAACAGTCAACACCACTGTACTGTTTACTCTTAATTACTTCAATTACCCAGCAAGTTTCAAACAATTTTAATTTCTTATATAGTATGACTGGTGGCAATCAATATTATTTTTCACCTATAATACTAAGTAAAACATTTCCCATGTGATTTATTTATAAAAATTATTCAGAGTTAGATATAAATTTCACAAGAAATGCATTAAACAGAAGAAAATGGGGAAAACCTGACTAGCTGTCGGTCGTTTCTTGGGATCCCACTGAAGCAAGTCTCTCAGGAGCTGAATGGCTTCGCTGCTAGCGTTTGGAATCAGGGTCTTTAAGTTATTGGGTACACACTGGGGCCAGTGGAAGTGCATGGCATTTGACAGTTGGTACCCTTCGGGCCAGTCGGTCTGAGAGAAGACAAAGATAGAACAGCTCGTTCAGGCAATTGCTGTGACTCGAGTTTGCGTCCTTCCGTGTGTATCCAAAATGGAAAGGCCATTATGTCATAACCCTGCTTATACTCACGATGGTGGCAGTGATGAGACACGGGGTTATATTAATGAAGAGACTATAAGGAACAGGAGATCTGGGAAACAGTAGAAAAGACACCAACTTATTTTATAACCTTTATATGATAGTGCATCTCTTGAGATTTGGGGATTGAACCAAGTTAGTGCTTCCCCAACTATGTTCCCTGAGTCAGAGGTTTTATTTATTTATTTTTGTGGGGCTGGGAATTGAACTGAGGCCCTTGAGTATGCTAGGCAAGCAGTGTATCACTGAGCTATACCCCCAGTACCTTTGAGACAGAGGTTTCAGAAATTGCTAATGAGATATTTTGGGTGGAGTGGGAACCAAAAAAAAAAAAAACAAAAAAACAAAAAACCACCTTCCTCTTGGCCGGATAAATCTGTAAAACTCATTTCACAGACTCAAGACTCCATTTTTCATGGGACAGTAACTGCTGGAATACATGATAGAAAATGTTGAATACCTGCTCTTTAAGGTTCCTTCTAGTGAAACAGGCCTGTCCTGTAAAGCACATCTTGACATAAGGGCCTCCTCCCTTTTTCACAAAACCAAGTGGTACTTTGTCTATCTCATATCATTTCATTCACTAAGACTGCCCCTGAATGAATGCTTAGTGTCGTTGAATACCACAAAATAACCAGTATAAATCCCGCTCTCAAGGATATCACTGTCCTTAAAAGAGAAAATAGGACATTTACTTAAAAATATAATAACTCAAAGTAAAAAATGACAAAGGCCACAAGAGAGGTATAGATACAGATCTGCAGAGGTGGGGAAAGCCCGGCAGCGCATTTTGGAAACCTTCTTTAAGATGTGGCACTAATGATTCAGTCAAATGACTAAGAAAGTGTTTGAAGTCTGTTGTGGTAGTTTGTGCCTATAACCCCAGGGGTGCTTGTGGCAGGAGGATCAGGAATTTAAGGCCAACCCAGCCTGTCTTTTAAAAAATGTAAAAAAAAAAAAAAAAAAAATATATATATATATATATATAATTTTTTTGAGGTTCTAGTTCATACCAGCAGTGCTGGTGCCTGGGGAAAAAGCACAAGACAAAACTTCCCTGAATGAGCTAATTAATGGTCCAAGGAACAGATATGCACACAGATAACTGTATTAATAACACAGACCACAGCTGAAGATGGAGACGAGGCTGGAGAAGCAGTGGGAAGGGAGATTATTGAAAGCAATGGAGTAACAGAAGGATTTGGTAACAGACATTCACCCAGGCAGAAGGAGCATGTGCACACAAGTGGGGACAGTCCAGGAACCCAGCCAGGAGGGGCATGGGTATGAAAAGTAAAATCAGGGTTGAGTTGAGGGGCTGGGCAATGGGCAGTGAAAAACTACTTTTAGGAGAGGAGGACAATAACCAGAGTCATTTTTTCGAAGGATGAGGGAAAGACTGGAAGGCAGAAAAACTGAGACGATATCCTCAGACATGAGCAAGTAATCACGTCCTGTCTGTAATGTCAGCGGTGAACTTGAAAGGGCAAGAAACACATGAGAGATACCATGCAGGGATACTCAGCAGGATTTACTGCTTGGATCAGGGGAAGTAGTGGGGGAAGGGAAAAGAAAGAAGGCAAGGCAGAAACTCAGCGTCAAGGCTGGGCCTCTGGACTGTGATGGGACCACAGACAGAAATGGGTATGAAAGAAGGAAGCACGTTGGGTGTTAAGCAAAAAGCCACCTGATTCACATGAGTTGCGTTCGAGGTGATGGGGAGGGAATCATGAGGAAATCCCAAACTTAGCTGTAAATGTGTGAATGGAGTTATGAGGGAGAGAGTGAGGGCTATCAATTACATTGAGGAGACTTCTGAACACGGTAAGAGTTGTGGCCACAAGAACAGAGAACCTCTGCAAAGGAGGTGAGGGGACGTACAGAAAAAGCAGGGGGAACCACAACAGATACCATTCTTAATAGCAGGAGGAAGAGGAGAAGCCAGTCTTGCCTGAGAAGGTGGGCAGTGGACAATGGCTGAGATCAAGAGGAAGATTCTAGAACGAGCTGATGCTCAACAGTGCCAGCACTGGGGACACGGGGAGCGGCTGGCTTTGGCCCACAGGGCCTGTGTTCCATATCATTACCTTTTTCGGTGTCCCCAACACTTGGCAGATTTTGAAAATCGTGTCAATTTCACTGGCCCCAGGGAAGAGCGGCCTGAGAGTGTACACCTCTGCCATGATGCAGCCCACGGCCCAGACGTCAATGGGGGAGCTGTAGTTGGTAGACCTCAGGAGGACTTCTGGAGCCCTGTACCTGGAGGGACAAAGTGAACAGCTAGCTATCACTTCTACTGTCAGAAATTAAATAAGATAACAAGCAGTTAGCAGAAGGAGTTTATACACTTGTTTTCTCTCTGGTTCAGTGTGGTACACGGACTGTAAGGGGTTGGCAACTGCCATGGCTGCTGTTGAAAGGAGTGCTTCTCTAATTCATAATGGCTTCTTTTGAGCATTTCCCTGCAGGAGTCTTCTCTATAGCATCTTTGAGAAACATGGAGAAAGTGACAGGAAGAAAGAAAATGGGGCAGGGGGCAACAGGAAGGGAGGCAAACAACCTAACACTTGTGTCAATCAATTCGGTTTTAACAACAGCAATTGCATAGTTTTCCCAACAAGTCTTTGGAGCATCCCTTACGCAAATCTTTTGGGAAATTATCCTCAGAAATGCCTACACACAAAATTTACTTACGCTATGCGGAAGTGGGACTTTCTTTTTAGAGTTATAAGATAACTTTTTATCTCATCCAGCGCCAACATAACTACAGTGTTTCAGGCTGCACTCTCTCTTAGTGAAAAGGAAGGGTTTAAGACTGACGTCCTCAATATTATGATACCTTTTTAAAGAAGTGCAACGAAATAATTTTGAGAGAAACATACTCACCATCTTGTGGACACATAGTCTGTGTATGGAGGTCTTGATCGGATTTCTCGGGCCAATCCAAAGTCTGCAATTTTCACAAGTTCTGGTCCCATGCAGAGCAGGTTCTCGGGCTTTAAGTCCCGATGGAAGAAGCCTGAGGAGACACCAAAGGCACTGAATGCAGGGCACTGTGCGGCTGTACTCGCTCGTTTTGTAACAGCCACAATGTGAAAAGCAGTTGGTTTGGCGTCAGAGGGTGTGCATTCATTCCACGGATAATGACAATCTTTTGCCCTTCTCACAGGGCTCCAACCATCTCCCTTTGCAAAATCATTCAAAGCTTGCTCTTCGTAACTTCTTTTTTCTTTTTTACAAGACAGCAATCTTCTTTAAAAATGTCCAAACTCCTGTGCTGAGATAACTTTACAAAACAGTCACTCAAGGGAAAAATATCATTTCTACCCTGCCCAAATCATCCAGAGAGAACTTGAGGTTAAAGTCATTTCAAAAAGATGAGTGTGGCAGTAAACTCCTATAATCTTAGCTACTCAGGAGGAGCACGAGTTCCAGGCCAGCCTGGGCAAAGTTGGTGAGACTCTACCTCAAAAAATAAAAGCAAAAGGGCCGGGGCTCGGCTCCAGTGGTAAGAGTGCTTGCCTAGCATTTTCTAGGCCTTGGGTTCAAGCTCCAGCACTGCAACAGAAAACAAAACACCACACATTTGAAGACAATTGTTTTATGGGAACTGAATGTATACCAGAGCAGAAAAACAACTGTAATTATTGTTGAAAAAGACAATGGATCTTTGGATGTGATCTACTCATATCTGAGATTCTGGTGTGTGTTGTGACACGTTTAAATGTTAAGTACTTATTACTTAACCTAGTGATGAAGTGAAGAGGTGCATCTGCAGCTCACTTAGTGAAAGGCAAAGACGACTCTTCAAAAGAGGAGTCTGCTCTCCAGCAGCACCCTGGAGGTACAGGAAGGAGATATTCCAGGTACCACCCACTGCCTGAGAATATCACCAACAGAGACACTGTTCAATGCCACGCCAAATCTCCACGAGACGCCCAAACTGGAAATACAGCTCACTGTTATTCGTTATGTATTATCAATACTGTGAAAGCTGAATTCTAATTAAAACATGATGGAGAAGCTAACAGTTATTAGCTTCTGAAGACGTCCACCATTCCTTGACAACTTCCGTGCTGACAATGCTCAGGTTACTTCTGCAAAGTGCATCCTCCACCCTTCTCCAGAACGATGTCTCTAACAAGACAGCAACTGGATGTCACTGTCACCTTTGTATCAGCTTGTCCAAAGCTACTTTTCTCTTCTCACAAATCATTTCCTTCTCAAACTTTTATTAATACTGCCAGACACATTACAGTTATGCTGGATCCACCCTTTCCCAGACAGTGATGGTACTCTCCATCAGGCTGTCCCCTCCAATCTGTCCCTTTCTACCCTGTCACGCCTTGCTCTCACTGCTATCATGGTGATGCCACTGGTCTTTGCTCACAGGCCTTCCTCACTTCAGCTTCTCTGGACTCCCACACATCCTGGTCATTTAAACACTGTTTCTCTTGTTATTCTCTCATACACACACACACACACACACACACACACACACCCCTTTTTATTTATCAAGGTTGAACTCCTTTCAATCTATCTGATAAGTGGATTTTTATCAGTTTGTGTAAAGTGTGTTCCAGTAAGATAAAACTCCTTGTTCCCTTTAAGATCATTGCATTTATTCTGATTAATAATGTACCCTTGCTCCTTTTAATCTAGATCTGCCCCAACCTTTGCCATTCTTTAAGACTTATTTTCAATTCCATTTCTTCCACGAAGCCATCCTAATATGCCATTCACTAATTCTACCAGGAAATACTCACGGAGGCCATGCTAGCCAATGGGTTAGACTCTGTGGATTCAGAAGCAACCCAAATGGTCATGATTCTTAGTTCTTGCTCTCATGGACGTGACAGGCCTTTGCCTCTGAACTTCTAGTTTTATAAAATATGTTAGCCATTTCTTACTAATTTGACGGAGGCACTTTAAGGGTAAAGGCCATGTTGATATTTCTTCTGAACGCCTAGCTCGGTGGCAGGTATATGGTGGTCTCATAACAGATTCTTGTTGATTGGACAAAGGAATTGTTTAGGCTTGCAGGGAACATGAAGGAGCTTCACAATGATGAATCTACCTGGGTTAAGTAGACAAGGTGAATGGAGAGTTGAACAGATTTATGGGGGAGGGGGGTTGGAAGGGGGAAGGCCCCATAAGACAGCAACAGAACTGAGTCAGAAGAGCCAATGGCTCTGTAGTAGTGCAGGGCACTGGATGGCTCAGAGCTGGATATCCACATGATAGAGGGCATTCCAGTGGAACTAAATCAATTAGTCAAGGTTATTTACCAAAGATTGTCTCTGTGCTACAGGAAGAGTGATTGTAATATGTTTATATGTGAAAAATGCACAAGCAGCAATATTTCAATAAAAGGACATTCCTCTCTGTTTACCATTCTGAAGACAACAGGGCTTTGTACTAGGTCAAGTTCCAAATGGATACTATTATGACATAATGATAGATCTGCAGGGTAAGTGCCTAGCTTGGATAGACAAGTGAATGTAATTACAGAGCCTAGGACCCAATGCACACATAAGCAGATGAAGGTGCAGAAGTGACCAAAAGACATCCAAGTAGGGCACAGTGAGAGGAGAAAGTATTTTCTTCCATCCACAGTGCTGCTTCTACCCAAGGCAGTGACAAAATCAAAGGAGTCAGACCTGGGTTAGACCAGAGGCAGTCACAGCAAGTTGGTTATTTTATAGCATGTGCATATGCACTTATGTGTGTATGTATATACTTCATACATGCATGTTTGTATGTATACTGTGAAAATACATATATTTCCATTTCATTGCTTCATTTTTACCCTGCCATTATACATTCCATGTAACAATTCCTTTACTTAGCCTATCAAACCTAAATTACAGTAAGAATCAAACTGTAGTAAATCAAACCTAAATTACAATAAGAATGAAACTTGAGGTTTGTCATGCAAAGATAATTCAATATTAGTCAAGAGCAGTCTTGAAAATTAAAGAGTTGGGTGCTGGTGTCTCACGCCTGTAATCCTAGCTACTTGGGAGGCTGAGATGGGGAGACTCATGGTTCAAGTCCAGCCTAGGCAAATAGTTCACATGACCCATTTCCAAAATAACCAGGGCAAAATGGACTGGAGGTGTGGCTCAAGCAGTAGAGCTCCTGCTTTGCAAACATGAAGCACTGAGTTCAAACCCCAGTCCCACCAAAAAAACTCATGACAGAAAGAGACAGAGAAAAAGAAAGGAAGGAAGGAGGGAGGGAGGGAGGGAAGGAAAAGAGAGAAAGAAAAGAATTTCTGATATGGATAAGTCTGGATGGCTTATTATCAGCCTAAAGAAACTGCCCACACCCACCAGGGTAGGTAATGTCTGCTCTAAGACTTGGTATAACTGGGTCATTTTCTTTGGACCCTCTGCTCTTCAGAGCACACTCTAGCTCCTAGAAGGCCTAACTTTGTGCTCCCGTCTTGGAAATGGCCTCAGAATGGATAAAGATAAAGGAGTTATCTTTTGGGAATATGTCTAGGATGACCTCTGAGACCCCAGAAAAGATATGAACTGTGAGACCACTGTTTCTCTTCCTAAGAACTCAGAACATTAAAAACACTCCAGTGAAAACACAAATGGCAGACATCATTTTCCTACATAACAGATGGGAAAACTGAGTCATGGGAAGGGAGACAAATTATTCGTAATCCCACTAAGATGTGCGTCACGCTCTAGCAGTGGTGTAGGTACCACTCTTTCCCTCTCGAGCCACATAAGTAAATCTTGATTTGTAGCCTGGGTCCTCTCAAGTTGAGGTCAATGCTATTTCTTCCTATAAATCCTTTTTCCCTCTTATTGGGACAATTAGTATTTCCAAACGTATGTGCTATCTCTTCCACATGACTCCTCTATCTTCCAACCTCCCCCTGGCGCCATCTAAAATACCCATCTCAGCAAACTCGCCTCGGCTCGGTTCACCCTGTCGCATGGACTCACATCCAGATAAAGCAGCATGCTCACACCGCAGACCTTGTACTGTGGCCACCCTAGTCATGCACCCAGTACCCCTCAACCACGTCCCCACAACAGCCAAGCTTTATCCTTTACCTCACTGTCGATCCTTCTTTAATCCATTTCCACAGAGAACAGGCACACTAATGACATGAGGAGAATAAAGATTCCAGTTTCCCACATATCCCTCTAAGCAGTCCCCTTTCATACTTCAGGGTCATGACAATTAGAGGGAAAATGGCAAGGAAAAAAATTAATTGCAAACAGACTCTTAAAAATGACTGATGAGCTGCGCACCAGTGGCTCACACCTGTAATCCTAGCGACTTAGAAGACAGAGATCAGAAGGATGGTGGTTCAAAACTAGCCCTGGGCAAATAGTTCAGGAGATCCTATCTCAAAAAAAAAAAAAAAAAAAAGCACAAAAAACAGGGCTGGCAGAGTGGCTCAAGCAGTAGAGCGCCTGCCTAGCAAGTGTGAAGGCTAAGTTCAAATCCCAGTATTGCCAAAAAAAACCTGGCTGATGAGAAAACTGTATCTTTCTGTTGCATGTCATGTGTCTTCTTCAAAGATAAACCTTTATAACAAATTTGAATATGACTTTATAATACCTAGCCCTCTGTTAATCAATGAATAATAGAATTAGATTTTTATTAGTGTTATATCCATGAGTTCTAGGTCTTTGTAATTGAAAACATAAAGCCCTGATGTCACATATGGTGACTTTTCATCTCTATTTTAACAAAATAATACTATTTCCATATAAACTTAGTGGTTTTAAGTGTGCAGACCAGCCAGGCTGCCCAATTTCAAATCTCAATTATGTTACTCACTGGGAAGTTACTGACCTTTCTGTGCCTCAGCTTCTTCATCTGAAAAATGGGGGACTAATCTTACTTACCTCACAGGGTTTTTATTTTTCAGGATTAAATATGGTGTATTTGTAAAACTTGTACAAGGTGCTATCACCCCACACCATGCAAGAGCTAGTGATCATGAGAAAAGTCTCATTTGACTCTCCCAATAAACTGTCAAAGTAGGCAACAGATCTGGCACCACTTTTTGCAGATAAGAAAGAAGGCTCGTGAGGCTAGTGCCGTGCCTTGTCTACTAGGAGGTGGTGCAAAAACTCTGATCTGGTTCCTAGCTAGGATCGTGTTCTGCTGATGTGTGCAATGTGGCCTGTAACAATGAGCCCCTTCTCCCTCTGGGCTCCTGGATAACACTGGAAATCCCTTATAGCTGGGCCACTCAGAGATCACACAATAGCACAGTGATGTTATGATAAGAACCTTCCTGTTCAAAACTGCCTGGCTTCCAGGAGACAGGAATAGACCTTCAATTTAAGTTCAGGGGACTATATACCAGTTGAGTAACTAAGGGATTTTTTCCCTTTCGTCTGAACAGAAAATGTGTCATGCTTATTTTTTGGTTAAGAACCATTGGACAAGGAAAACTTGCAAACCACAAGGAAAGCTTTTTCTCCCTGGCCACACTATTATTGAGAATTTCATATAAATATGTGGAAAGGACCAAAGAATATTTGAACGCTGGGAATTTATGTAGCACCCCTTCTTGCTGCAGAATTTGTAATTTCAGATAATACTGAATTTAAACCTGTAAAATCTTTATCAAGAAGGCCATGAAATGTCCTGAATGCTATTGAACATTAAAGGGTAGGGGGAAGGGTAAGGAAGAGTAATAGAGAGTGATAGAATAATTAAAGTACAATATATTTACAGGTGAGATACCAAGGCAAAACCCCACTGAACAATGAACAGAGACCTAAATGAAGGACATGAAGGACAGGAATGTCAAACAGGTCAAGTTAAGGGGAGGACACTAGTGGGAGGGGAGGGAAAATGAAGAGGGTAGAGGAAGTGAATGTGTATGAAGATGGAGCACTGAAACCTGTTTTAAGAAGGAGAACAATGGAGGGGAGGAACCTAACCCCAGTACATTGCATGTATATATGGAAATGTTACAAGAGACCCCCTGTACAGCTATTACATACCAAAAAAAAAATTTTTAAAAAAAGATGCTGATAAAAAACCTAAACAGGAAAGAAAGGCCATGAATACAGCAACGCACAGAAAAGGTAAAGGACTGGCTCAGGGTCTGCTCAGTAAAACAGTGGTGAAACACAGAAGCAGAGAACCATTTCTTGGGGCAAACACTGTCCTCCAAATCACCTAATACACTTCTGTTACCTGTACAGGTAAGCGTAATCTAGATATTTGCAAGGTCAACTCAAGGACAAAGCAGATAACTGGCATTAATCATTTAATTCCTGCCAAGTACATAGGCTTTGGCATTGTTTGATCAGGACCAAGTAGGGCTGTGTGTTCAGTCCCAGGGAGGGAGAACACTCAGTGACATGAAAGATGGCCATAGCAACGGCCTGCAACACTGCTCATCCCTCTCCAGGGAGCCCCTCCCCAGGGCACGATGGGCCTTCTCTCAGGGAGAAAGCGCTACCAGGGAAGAGCCTGAAACTCGCGAGCCAGCTCTGTGAGGTGCTTTAATAAGCTTCTTCACTACTGTCAGAAAGGAATAAGATGGAGTCACTGTGCACTCACCCAAGTCAAGTCAGTACCACACAAAACCCATTACAGTTTCTAAAACTCACTCATTTATCAGCGGAAATGGGACAGGACCTGTGACTTTGGTGTCTATCCCACTTACAGTCATCACCATCTTCTTCACCTCAGGTTCTCCTGCTCTCTTTGAGGACAAGTTTTTTTGTACTAAGCACAGCACATGGGCACAGACTATCTGAACTACTCCCTATCACTATGACAGTGAGACGCCTGGCAAGTTTTTAAGCCTCTCTGAGCCTCAGTTTCCTCTTCTTTGAAAGGAGTAGATACCGTCCGTTCATTGACAGGGAAATGAATAAGGTTACAGATGAAGTGTTATTCAGCTCAAACTAGAACTGGGCATGTAACTTCTGGGGAAAAGTGTCAACAATCTTTGGTAATGGCAATGGGAATGAGGCTTGAAAAAGCAGAGGTCTAAACTTCTGCATAAGCTGAGCCTTCCCTTACACTATTCTGAATGTCTAAGGCGTGCAAGGGAAATGGACGGTGCAGATTCCCAAGATACCATTTTGCCACAGGAGTATAAGGGCATTCAAATATGTGTGTGTGTGTATACACACATGCATTCATGTAGTGTATGTGTCAGATGAGAGTCTGTAGATAACACGCATGTGGGCGTGTATACATGTACGTGGGTGCAAGTGGGGGGGAATACATAGGTGTGGTCTGTGTGTATGTATATACACATATACATACATCTACATATACACACACATATGCACACAGATATATAGAGATAGATAAATCTATCTGTAGACAGAGAGAGAGAGACAGAGACATATACATTTGGTTAAGCAGCAACCTGGACAAAAGGCTACAAGTTCTTCCTGGCAACAAATACCAGAGTGTCATGAAACAAAAAGAAAAAGAAGAGAAAGCCAAAGAATATTTACTTTCTTTTAGGTCCACTCACTTTCCAGTACTGAGCAGAAAGCCTGAATAACTAAAACACCATGACCTTTATCTGAATACATGCTGGTTGACCTATCTTTGAAAATCCCCTTGATTTCTCATTAGTTCTTTCTCTGGAGCTCTTAAGTCTGGTAAGCTCTTAAAATCTCTCTCCATAATATAAACCAGACCTTCTACCTGTCCCTAAGACACCATACCAGAAGTTTTCAGTGTTTTTCAAATTCACACCATCTCTGTGAATAAAGACTAAAGTGCCAGTTTACTCAACGTCAGTGGAATCGAAGGGAAACTGTAGGTTTCTATGATAGCTGGTTTGCAATTTGACTCAATCTTGCCTTATTATTTGCTTATTACTCAGCATAAGCTCAAGGCCAACAAGGATTTGAATAGATAGCCTCTTTGTCTACTTGTGTTTCGAGACAGGGTCCTGTGAACTATTTTCCCGGGGCTGGTTTTCAACCATGATCCTTCTGAGTACTTAGGATTACAGGTGTGAGCCACTGGTACCTGGCCAAAAGGGTTTAAAAGTGGCTTCACGTGATTTATGCCATACAGGAAAATAAAATAAATTAAAACTTAAACTGACAAGAAAGACAAAGGCAAAATGGTATGCATACAGTTAACCCTTAAGACACACATCAGCAAGTTTTATTTCAGTAGAAGAAATGGGCCATGGATTTGGTCCTGAATTTTTTTATATCAGCAAAATGTGACCAATGGGAGGGAAAAATGTGACCAATGGGAACATACGTAGTTTACCCTAGGTAAAAATGACCCATTGCCCAAGAAGTGCAGAACTATTGTTAATATGACAAGTAGAGAGAAACTTTCATGGATTCTTTAGAGGGGACTGTGTGTAACATGACTTCAGAGGAAACACAGCAAGACTGCACAGGGTGGTTTCACGTCCTCTGCCACAGTGCAGGCCATTATACCACCTGATCAGAGAAAACAGTTCTACTGGGGCCCAGCTGCTTTGCTCCAGCGATGGGCTGGTTAGTTCAGGGAGAGATCTGGGGTATTCAGAGAAAGGGGTGGTCACATGCCCTCAAGAAAGCTCCATTGCTAGTTTTTCCTTTTGCCAAGCAACAGTGAGTTAGAGGCTATAATCTGCAGCAACTACTTAGAGCACTGCTGGTTTTTAACCAGATCACACCCAGCTGAGGCTGGGCTGATAACCTTGTTAGCACAGAGCCACCAGGTGCACTTGCCCACAGGTGAAGGTACAGTCCTCTGAGAAGGTCATCTTAAGCTGCAGACGGATGGGCAAAGCGAATGGTTTCACACAGGCATTCACCCATTCTCTCTCAGTTGGAGGACATTGTTTGCATTATAAATACCACACCAACAAATGAGTTTCATCACTCAGTAAGGACACTGGCTTGAAATCCTTCCACGATGCCATCGGTTTAGATTTGATGGATGTTGAAAGTGAGCAGAAAGTCTTGTGTTGCACAAGGCAGCACAGTACATCTTGGTGCATTGCCAACTTGCTCTCTACCCCTGGGAACCCCTCACAGTTAGAGATTAAGAGAAGGCTGGTGGAGTGGCTCAAGGTGTAGGCCCTGAGTTCAAACCCCAGTACTGCCAAAAACAAAGAAACACAAACAAAACCCTTTTGAAACAAATCAAAATGTAAATACCCTAGAAAAGAATGGCGAAGGGAAGTTAGTGGGCTAACTGTGATACGCAAACTATCTCGGAATTCTAACCTAGGTCTCGTGTTGATGTATCAGGTAAAGGTCGGGAATAATTCTTAGATCCACAGCTAACAAGCTGAATGGATAAAAACACAGACATAATAAATAAGGAAAATTCAGAGATCAAGTTTCAAAAGGTAACATATTCCAAAGTCCACTGTCAGTCTTTCAATTCTCCCATCTTTCCTAGGAATTAGTTACAAAGACACCATTGCTTCCTACACCTTCTGCTGGAGGACATTTCACTGGTACTCAAAATCATGGTATCCAAATCACCTACCGTGTTTGTGAATAAATGCAAGTCCTTGCAGTATCTGATACATGATATTCCGTATGGCAGACTCCGGAAACAACTTATTTCTGTATGGGGAGAGGAGAACACAGTGGTAAGTCCGGCCTCATGACTCTTACAACCTCTTGTGTTCACATTCTTCTCTACATTTTAAGAAATTAAAGAAAACATTTGTTCATAGACTAAATTTGACCAGATCCTTTGATAATAAATACCAAAGAAAAATAATCATTTGACCATACAGAGGAACTAACTTATAAATACCAAATATGTTCAATTATATTACAAAGAAAAAAATTAAACATTTTATAATAAACTAAAAAAAAACCTTCTAACATGGCCTAGAAAACTCTACAAATCAGGCTGGGTGTGATGGTGCACACCTGTAATCCCAGCTCTCAGGAAGTCGATGCAGAGGATCTCAAGTTTGAGAGGACAAGGTGAGACTCCATTTCAAAAAAAAAAAAGAAATCTAAAAATCTCTGTCTATATATAATATAAACCAGAACTTTAAGTTTTTAGTGGAGATGATTTTGATGTCTTTTAGATTACATCATGTTTTCCCTTGGTTAGGCAAACCACACCAGACAGTGAAGATGATATCTATTCTCTCAGGTCACTCAGGGATGCAGTAAACGGCGTTCACTGTCAAAGTTCACAGTTGCCATGACAGAGAAGTTTCTTATGAGTGTCCCCTTCCCAGCATGCAAGCACCTGAGTGCTGAAGCTAGGGAAGAGCTAGATAAGTCTAGGACTTTTCAGCGGAGGTCTCAGAATTGCAAAGCTGTGTGCCCCGACTTGCAGTTGCTCTGTCCACACGTCCTCGTGGGACTGAAGAGAGCAGTACCTGTTAAGTCTTAGAGCTTCTTTGCATGAGTAACTGTAAAATGTGAACACGCAGCATTGCAAGTAGTTTCGTGGAAGCTGTCAGGGTCTGCCTAGCAGGGATGAGGCTGGGCCACTCATCTGGCTTCCAGTTGCATGACTGTTAAATGACCAGAGGAAGACTTCAGAGAGTGCAAGAAGCAAAAGCAAAATTAAAGAACATGTGCCCTTGGCAATCTTTATTTCTAAGACTGTGATGACCAAACCATACCTTTCTTTAATGAGCTGGTAGAGGTTTTCCTTCATGTACTCAAAGATAAAATAAAGATGGTCATTCTCCCTGATGACTTCTTTTAATTTCACAACATTGGCATGGTTCAGCTTCTTTAAAGACTGAGGGTGAGAAGGAAAGTAAACAGAAAAGTAGACAAAATCCACTGAAAAGTAATTCTAAGCATACTTAAGAAGAAACATGTAATTTTAGAATTGCAGACAATCTGTAAGTTGTAGTTTATTTATTGACATTTAATAAACAGTGTTTCTCTGAAATCAGCGGTCACTTCACGTAGAAAAGCCATTTTGATGGAATGACTATAAGGTAAGTATTCAACCGGTAACTGATATTACTCGCTTCACCCAGCACTTGGCAATGATCCAAGGCTATTTTAGGCTCACCCCCTCCAAATCATGGAATTCAGGCTGTGGAAGTGGCCAGAAGGGAACCAATGAAAGAAGCTGACACTTTGAATTTTCTGGCACTGGAGAACGCAGCTGCTTTGGGCTGACATCACCAGCTAACAGTGTACATACACTCTGAACAGAAATGGCTCAAATGAACTGAAGCTAATTGCCCGATTCTCTTGACTTTTGTCGCTCTTGAGTGTCTGAGATGACGAAGGCTCATTCTTACAATGTGACTTTGAATTACTGAGGAGGAAAAGAGACATCTTACTTGGAAGACCTCACAGTGAGATGAGGAAATTCATCTGCTTCTAAGAACAACAAAGGAAAAATAAGGAACAAGATGATAGCTTAAAAAATGGCACATAAAAAAAAATGGCACATGACCTTCTGATTCCTCATCCTCACCCAAATGTCGCTCTGTGAATACATGCAAGCACAGCCCCATCCGGTATGTCGTCTGTGTTATTCTGTCATCATCCTACCACTCATGAGCAAAAACACTCTTGTATTAGCAAGGAGCAATTCTGTCCATGTACAGCGCCCGGAGACCCCCAGCTGACGATCTGCTCACTGAATGACTAGAATTTCATAGATGGTCTCCAAGGAAGCCTCCAAGGGTCACTTCAGCTAGTAAAATGAACCCTTTACTTCAAAAGCCTTTTCCTCAAAGAGCAGTGAGTCCAATAATAATGAATTGTAAAGCCCTCTTTATCTCTGAATTTAATTAAAAAGAACATCCCGTTTATAGAAAAAACAAAACATTTAAGGATGGAAGTGTTGCAATGAATATCCAAATCTGGAAGGCCATTCAAGTAATAAGATACCCAAGGGACCTGAGCTTGAACTGTGTAACATGATCAAGTTACTTCAAGCAGCTGGGAAAAGGGGAAATATGGTCAGTGAATGAGAGCAAAATAAGACTCCTCTGGAACCTTTTCCCCAAAAGACAAGTTCTTGCCAAGATGCTTCTCTGCCTTGAATCCTCAGCTCTTTGGGCCAAATCTTTCTAGAAGGACCCAAGTGGGCTGATTACTTCTTTCAGTTGGGTTGGATTCCTGGTTCCCCACAAGTTATAAACATAAACATTGCTTAACTCGTAAGTATTCACTGGATTCTCCTAACTGCAACCATCATTTTTCCTGTTTGTTTAAAATTCACTTTCACAAGCGTTGGCTGAGATATGCTTAGGACATGCTGGCTTGGGGCAAATTCATTCAGGGAAAGTGAAGTCCATTTTAGAGCTTTTCTAAAGGACAATCCAAGCTAAAGGACAATCCTTTAGCTCTTGGCCTCAAGTCTGTTTTGAGCATGAGTTACTGGCCTATGCCTAAGAGTGGGCTCACAGCTCTTGTTTCTTTGTGAGATTAAGGAGCAAATTTAAGTCTATTAGTTTAATATGAAAGAGTTAATTTTACATGGGAGACTCAATTTACAAAATATAGTTCCATAAAGAAGCATCTTATTTGGCTCTGGAAAGGTTTCTACAGGAAGGGTAAAGACAAATCACTTGTATCAGAGGCAGTAAGCTTAAGTAGAAAATCAGACTGTCCACATGTAGACAGTGCCCATGGATGAAGGCTACTTTCAACTCTGCCTTCATCCACGACTGATCAACAGTTTCTTACCTATGAAAACTACAATATACTGGGCCCTGAGGATATTCCAGGGCATAAGACAGTGCCTGCTCTTCAGAGGCAAACAACACTACTGGGAAGACAGCACTTGAATTCAAAGTGCATGTAACAGAATAAGGAAGACCATGTTAAGTGTCAAAGGAATGACGCTTAACAAGAAACAAGACACATCGAGAGGTTTCAAGAAGGAGCAATCAGCAAAGAGCACTAGGTGGTCAGTGAGGGGATCTCCTGAGATGTGACTTAGAGGAAGAGTTACATCAAGACAAGCACACCAGAGGGACGGAGTACATCAGGAGCTAAGCCCATCCTGGTTAAGGTGTGGACAGTGCAAACTCTAGGTCCCAATGGTGAAGGGTGAGAATCCCTCCCAGTTGTGCTTATCTGGAAGACTTTGGCTGAAGAAGTGGGCAGGGGGCAAACTGAATGCTGGGCATATGCCCATTGAGTTCTTCTGGCAAATCACAGCTTCAGTCGAGTTGCAGAGGGAGATACATGATTCAATTAGATTGAAAAGCAAACGGTGATGTGGGGAACCGGTACTGATGGGGAAGTAAAGTAGAGAAGAAAGAGGTGGAAAGCCAAGCGGAGAGAAGGCTGATGCTAGCTTGGTTTAGGGAGAATGGTGGGCACATTTATAGACTAAAGAGAAGAAGTCAGTGGAAAGGAAGAGTTTAAAGATATGGAAAAGAGGGGAAATTACTGGAGTAGGGATCTAAAGATATCAGAAGCTCAGATGGCAGGATATAGGCAGCCTACTCTCTCAGGATATTGTCTAAAATACCAGAGCATCATGTAAGCCAGCGCTTTAAAGAAAAATGTCACTGGGTCCTAACTCTTCCATGACATCACGGGTATAAGGATTCCTCTCCCTGCAGCAGGCAAGCAGGTGTAGAATCTCCCTGAAGTCCACAGGCTCCCCAGAGGTAGACATGGGGATGGAAGGGGAGAGGGAAAAACAAAAGAGAAGAGGTGAAGAAGGGATAGATGCATAATGGGTTTCCTTAAAGATTTCCCTTGGCTTCCTTTTGCTGCTGGGATTAAGCAGGACATGGGAAATGATGGTGAAAAGTCTTTCCTTTCCCATCTTCTCGGTGCCAGAAGGCAAAAAAGGACCTTAGCAAGAAGGAAAGCATGAAGAACCTTGGCAAGGTGCTTCTTTCTACCTCCTTCTTCTTTCCCTCCCCTCCATATTCAATGGCTGGCTATGGCCCACTGCTAGCAAGTTTGTGTGAGTATCAACAAAGACAGAAGGGTGGGGAGGATCCCTGTTGGTGGCAGATGTGGCACCTGTGCACGCAAGAAGGGAGCTAGAAACATGGGTGTCACAAACTAGAGAAGCAGCTCCTCCAGCTATGTTACTGAGGCAGATACCTGGTCCTAAGGTGCTATGGCCCTCCAGTTTTCTAAGCTGTCTGTGTGAGTGTCTCCCCTCCAGCACAATGAACACAGTTAGCTGAATAGAAATGTAAAGGTTTAGTATTTAAGTCAAGTATACTCAGAGGGCTGGCAGAGTGGCTCAAGTTATAAGAGCACCTACCTAGCAAGCATGAGGCCCTGAGTTCAAATCCCAGTGCCACCAAAAAAAAAAAAGGATACTTCTCAGCTTCATGTCACCAAGAAAATGCCCTTGTATAATCCTGTTTCTGAATCTCACACAGCTTTTATGCTCTAGGCAAGAGGCTGGCACACTATGAACCATGGTGAAATCATTTTTGTATGGTCCATAAGCGAAGAATAATTTTTATAGATAAGCATTTGTAATCAGCTTGACGATAGATAGCGAACACTGACTTTGAACACTAGTTAAGTTTAACGTTATATTCCCAACCTCAAAGGAAAGTTATTCTTCTCACTGGAAAACTAGTACCTAGTACTTCAAAAAATCACATCCAATTATTACTGCATTTTATATTTCATAAATTAAAAATTAGTGGAAATTTGTTTTCACTCTTGTTATATGTGTATCTACACAATGTCCTCAATGTGATGTTTGGCTCATGAAGTCCAAAAGAGCTACTACATGGTCCTTTATAGAAAGAGTTTGCAGGTCCCGACTGTAGATATGAAACCCTTTCCATGTACAGGACTTCCTTGGAAGAACAAGAAGGATGGGCTTTCAAACAGGGCTGAGTGAGAGACTAAGGACAGATGAAGCTCACCACTCCAGTGCACAAGGAAAGAACTTTACATGGAAAACCAAAGTGGTCAATCCTCAGAGTGAAGGGGAGAATTGAAACAGAATGAAGAGAAGAGGGGACGGAAGAAAGGAAACAGTGACTCTCGTCAGAGACAGAGTAAAAGTAAAGATCTGTGCCACCCAATGCTGACACAGCTCCACCTTGATCAAAAAACTCCATCACAGAGGATGGAGTACAAATTACTACAGGAAGAGGCAGAAACAGGTACCTAGGAAAAACACTCCACACAGGAATTCCTTTATATTAATAATTAAGATCAACCACCTTTACAGAAAACAGTAATTAACTCAACACATATATATTGAAATATATTGGTCTAAGAAATCTACTAAAGAGGGCAAATGAATTCAACAATTTTCAAAAGAAGTACAAAAGGCTAGAAAATACATGAAGAAAAGTTCAACACCCTTAGTACTCATGGAAATGCAAATCAGAACCACATCGAGAATCCATCTGATTGCCATCAACAAAACAAATACGTGCTAGGAAGAGGGGAGGGGAGGGGAGAGAGGATGCTTACATAGGTAGGAATGTAAGTTAGGACAGCCAAAATGGAAATCAGTATGGCGGTCCCTCAAAAAAAGCCAAAATACAGAAGTACCAGACACGATCCTGTTATACCACTGCCGGGCATCTATCCAAAGGAATGTAATTCAGCACACAATAGAGATGGCTGCACACCCATTTTTCTTTCTTCCTTTTTTTTTTTTTTGATGCTACTGGGATTTGAACTCAGGGTATCACACTTGCTAAGCAGATACTCTACCACTTGAGCCATGCCCCCAGCCCTCACCCATGTTTATAGCAGCAATATTCCCAAGAGCCAAGCTATGGAATCAGTCTAGGTACTCAACAACTGATGTGGCACATGTACACAATGGAGTATTATTCAGCAGTAAGTCTTCTTACTTACTTCCTTCCTGGAAATTATGACATTTCCAGGAAAATTGATGGAACTGGAGATTATAATGTTAAGCAAGATAAGCCAAGCTCAGAAAGACACATATCATGCTTTCACTCACACATGAACTCTAGACCTGATAATAATAATAGTAATAATAAAAATAAAATAACATGATTGTAAAAGGGGACTGTTTTGGGAGGATCAAAAACAAAAGGGAGGTGGAAAATAGAGGGTAAGGTAATATATATATTTATATATATTTATGAAAATAGCATAATGAGAGCCACTAAAAACTGTTAAAAAAAAGTGTGGGGGGGTTAAGATAAAGTAATGAGTAATATGGGGGCAGGGTAAATAAAAGAATAACATGGGGAGGGTGAATTTGATCAAAATACATCATATCCATGTATGTAGATATTTATAATGAAACTCCTTTGTTTAATTTATGCTAATAAAATCCACTAACAATAAAAGCATTCTAATAACAGCATATTCACTAATATGCTGTTATTAATAGTAACAGCAATCTTAGTAATCTTCCAGTTTTAGCTACTAGCTGTATATCATCTGCCTATTTTTTCAGCATTATGAAAAAATACAAATGAAATAACTGTATCTTTATGTAACACTAAATTTCATCATATATAAACCTATTTTAATCAGCCAAATATAAATTATCTCCTGATATATTAATAAATACCTTAACCTCCCGAAGATTCATGCACTCTTCCCAGGAATAAAACTTTCTTTTCATTCTAAAAGAGAAGAAAGAAATAGCATGCTTATTCCCAGTAACAGGCTAAACTTCACTTTTTAAAAATAATTCTGAACCTAATAATATTGCTTGATGTTGGTTTTGATTTCTATCAAATATTATACTATCTAAAGCAACATCAAACTAAAGTCAAACCAGCAGTGGGGGTGGTGCCTTGTTCTACCACTAATGAGCTAACTTTCCCCGGAGGGAAATCCAGTCTTATACTGTCTAGATCAGAGCTGTCCAGTAGAACTTTCTGTGTTGGTGGACATCTTCTGTGTTGCCCAATATGGTAGCTGCTAGATATGTAGCTAATGAGAAATTTAAATGTGGGTATTGCAACACAGGAACTGATGTTAATTTCAGTTTATTTAAATTTAGCTGCCACCTTTGGTAACTCACTACTATTTTGGATAGCACATTTTACAGCACAGGGATCAGCAAACCATAATCTATGTGCCAAAGACACCCACTCTCTGTTTTTATACAGCTCATGAGCTAAGGATGGCATTTGTGCTCCTACATAACTGGGGAATCAAAAGATGAATATTTTGTGACACGTGAAATTATATGAAATTCAACTCTCACTCCCCATAAATGAAGTTTTATGGGAATACAACCACATTTGGTCATTCACTTATATATTTCCCCATGAAACAGATGGGGCAGGTGAGGTGCACAACTTCCCCACGGCCTTACTCTGACTACTCTGACAGACCAACTTCATCCTGCCAGCTCACTCAGACATTCTGTCCTTGTCACAGTGTTTCTGGGTGAGTGATCAGTTCCTTTTTTCATGCTCCAAATATTACTTAGCACCTCCCCCAGGGACTGGAGACACAGTGATAAGAAGACATCCTTCATGGAACTTACATTATTCAGGAAGGCAGCCAATAATCTCCTCTAAGTGCTATGAAAGAAAGACACCCAGCAGTATGAAAAGGCACCTCAGAGGGACCCTATTCTACGAGTGTTGTCTGATACCCCTCCTCGAATGAAGAGATACTTCAACCCAGACCTGAAGGTCTGGCAGAGTTTAACCAGCAACAGGCAAGAAGTAAGGATTATCACAGGAAGGCTCTGTGTAGAAAGATATCTGGTGATTTCAAGATGCTGAAAGGTTAGGGACTGAAGCAAACAGACCAAGGGCTGGTGACAGGAGACAGGCTGAAGAAAACAGACAGGGCCAAAGGATGCAGCAATTTAGGAGCTTGATCCTAAAATTAACGGCCATTAAATGACAGAGAGAGAACAGTATTGAAATACATCACCTAGGTATAGGAACCAGCCACAGAGAAATGTACTAAAAGTGGGTGAACAATGTGGGGTGGGGGGTAAGGGTAAGGAAAGAATAATTGAGGGAGTATACTGATTAAAATACAATGTTTCTACAGGTGAAAGACCAAGGCAAAACCCCACTTACCAAGGAACAGCACTTAAACAACGAAGGACAAGAATGTAAAGTAGGTCGTGCTCTGGAGAAGGGACTAGTTGGGAGGAGGGTAAACAAAGAGGGTAAAGGAGGGTGAATATGGTTCATGTACTTTCTATATGTGCATGAAGATGAAACACTGAAACCTGTCCAGGTCATTTTACCATGGGGGAAGGGGGATGAGAGAGAATAAGGGTGCGGATGAACCTAACTGCACCCAGGTATAGAAATGTCACAACAAAACCCCCTGTACAATTACTATATAATAATAAAAGGGTTTTAAAAAGTTGTCTTAGTTTAGACTCCCCCAAATGCAGAGGCAAGGACTTGGGTACAGGTATTTCATTTGGGAAGTGATTCCAGGAAGCTAGGGCAAAGAGCAAAGAAATGAGGAGGAAAGAGGTGGGACATCCAAGAAAAGGTGCTTGACTGTGCTGATTTCAAGATAGGCAATGGGGGCTCAGGCCTGCTGGGGGCACTGAAGTAAGCTGGGTCAAGAGGCTGTGATGGGACAGCAGGACACAAGAATGTTTGGGACATAGTTTTAGTCAGTTAGATTCACGTGCTTAAAACAAGCTCGTCTGTCTGGTATCAATAGGGGAATGACAGTAAGCCAGGGGCCCTACAGAGGACCTAGTAGTCAGGTGGTAAACAGTATGGAAGGTTTTAGTGGGAACACAGATAAGTAGGTGGATCAGATAAATATTCAGTAGGACCTACACGACTAGATGACCAAAGGTGAGTCACAAGAGGCGGGAAGTCAGGAGGACTCTCCTGTTTTGAGGGTAAATGACAGTAGCGTCATTCATCAAGACAAGGAATACTGAAAGAGAAACAAGTTTGGGGTAAAAGCAGGAGAGTAAGCCAAATATGAGTTCAGTTTTGGGCATGATGAGACTAAAATGTTTGCAGAGCAACCAAAAGGAAATGCTAAGACGGGACATACCTGGGCACAGAAGGCAGACTCTACTATGGTTCCCAAAGCCCCCACCTCCTGGCATTCATAATCTTATGTAAACCCTTCTCCTTTGATAACTTGCTTCTATCCAACAGAATACAGCAATCTGAGAGGATGTCACTTTTGTGACCAATATCTTGGAAGACTCTTACTGCCTTCTTACTGCCCGTGTCTTGGTGAAGCAAGCTACCATGTTGTGAGCTGCTCTTTGGAGAGCCCACATGGCAAGGAAATGGGGGGCAGCCTCCTGCCAGCAGCTGCAGAGATCTAAGGCCCTCAATCCAACAGTGCACTAGGTCTTAAATTCCGTCTACAATCATGTTTAATGAGCGTGGGAGTGGATGGATCTTTTCCCAGTCCAGAAATCAGTGAGACCTCAGTCCCGGCCAACACCTTGATTGCAGCTTCCTGACAGACCCCATAGCTAAGCCATACTGACCTATGGAAATAGACAGCTAACATGCATTAAACCATTAAGTATTGAAGCAAATTGTCACACAGCAAAAGGTAACTGATATAATGGGTCTAAACTCTGTCTCTAAAGATCAAGTATAAGGAGGAGGAAGATATAAATGGGCCAAATTAGATCATTTAAATTCTCAGGGACTCCATGTCCTCTCCTGTAAAATGATGTTCATTACCACCAGATGAGAAAGCACTATGGAAAAGTACTAGTGTTATGCATAAAGCAGGACGTCTACAGTGGTAACCTTCTAAGACCTCAGACACAAACATCACAGAAGTCACCTGAAATTCTGCCCCGTGTCCCACACCCACTCTCCTTTAGAAGTGTTTCAAAGGCAGGGAAGGGACAGGGGAAGGCAGAGTTGGAACTATGTGGATAATATGGAGCTGAGGATGAATTCATGAGTGAAGGACAAGACTTACTTCTTAATAGCAATCAGTTCCCCCGACTCAATGCTTCTTCCCAGCAGGACGGAACCGTAGGTTCCATCCCCAAGCTGTTTGATGGTTGTGTATCTATTCATGGTGTGCCTGCTGCAGCCGGCCGGACACTCATCTCAGGACTGAGGCGGTTCTGTCCTGCCTTGGTAGCAGGCCTCCCCAGAATGTAACCAGATTTTTCGATGGCAGCACCAGCACGAGGTATTCAACAGAACGTAACTATCTCCCAAATACATATTTTCAAAGAGCAGTCTTCTGCCTGTAGAGAAAAATGACAAATGCTGATGTTGATTTTATTTATTTTTAAAATCTAAATTAGGGGCCAGTGAACTATAATTCCCAGCCCACCACTTGTTCTCATAAATAAAGTTTTATTGGGACAGAATCATACCCACACACTTGGAGATTATTATGGCTACAACAGCAGAGTTGAGTGTTTGTGACACTGTATGACCTGAAAAGTCTAAAGTATTTACACACTGACCCATTACAAAAACATTTGAAAATGCCTGGTCTAAATAGTGCTCTTTTCAAATCTGAGTAAGTATCTTTATAAAGCTGGAGACACCATGCTTAGAAAGAAATGAAATGAATCAGCACCAATTCAATACTTTTCTGCTGACTGACCATTCCGGGAAAACTGCATGATAACTATAGTTGGAGAAAATTGCTGAAGTGTTAGAAACTGAGCTAAATCTGCTGTGTTCTGTGCACTTTGGTGATAAACACACCAAGTCACAAAACACTAAAATCAAGTTCTCCAGAAAGAGAACCTACAAGTGTTCCATGAACTCTCAATTGCTAAGCACCTACAGTGTCCTTTTTATTACTGAATGATCAGAAGCTAAACAGAAAACTAGATAACTCAAGGTCAACACGTAGGTGGGCCCCTTGTGCAACCAATTTTTTAAGTCATTAAAATGTTCATTTATACAATTAAGTTTGTGTCTGCCTACACCTAAAAAACTAGCTAGCATTTGTTGCCCTTAATGCAGAGAAACTAAAGCAGATACCTTAAAGCAACTGAGGCCAATAGGAAAAGGGGACCAGGAACTAGAGAAAAGGTTAGATCAAAAAGAATTAACCTAGAAGGTAACACCCACACACAGGAAATCAATGTGAGTCAATGCCCTGTATAGCTATCCTTATCTCAACCAGCAAAACCCCTTGTTCCTTCCTATTATTGCTTATACTCTCTCTACAACAAAATTAGAGATAAGGGCAAAATAGTTTCTGCTGGGTATTGAGGGGGGGAGCGGGAGGGGGTGGAGTGGGTGGTAAGGGAGGGGGTGGGGGCAGGGGGGAGAAATGAACCAAGCCTTGTATGCACATATGAATAATAAAAGAAAAATGAAAAAAAAAAAAAAAAAGTTTGTGTCTGCCTATAATAAAGAAACTGTATAACTTAAGTGATTACAATGCCTTTAGGCAAATATTAATAACATAAATGCTAAAATAATAACAATAAGGATGCATTTTTAACAAGTGGCTGTCAAATTGATAATCTGAAGAGTATAGAAACAGATTGGAAGGATGTGACTTTCAACATCTAAATCTTGTCTATGCAGCTTATCCTTCCAAAACAGTTCTAATGAATAAATGTAGGAGGAAAGAGGGAAATAAGAAATTCACTATCTGGCAAATACTACAATAAAATCTGTGGCAGGCATGGCTGCCACAAATGGGTGGGAGAAACAGGATATTTGCAGAGCCTGAAATAAATATCTTAGTGATATTTATTAATTTCCAGGGGAAAGTCTGTGACTTCACAGGAGGAAACTCAGCAAAAACCACCTTCCCTAAGTGATCAGGTTCGACCTCATAATTAGTAAGTTGTGGCTTTATATACTCTGGATGCAATACAATGAGAAGGGTACAGCATCAGTTCTCCAGAGTTCTGATAAAAAATGCAGAAGCTCAATCGAATCATGAGATAATCAGGAAGACCTCAAATGAGGGATGCAGAATTCTACAAACTGGCCAGTACCCTTCAAAAGGGTCAAGATCACAAAAGACAAGGACAGACAAGCTATGGGTTGAAGGCGATTAAGAAGACAGGACAACTAAATGTAGCATGGGATCCTACAGGCACTCTACCACTTGAGCCACTCCACCAGTCCTTTTTTGGATTGGGTATTTTCGAGATGGGGTCTTGCTGCCCAGGCTGGCTTCCAACTGCTATCTTACTGATCTCTGCCTCTCAAGTAGCTATGATTACAGGTGTGAGCCATGGCTACACTATATTCTCGTGAAGGCTGTGCATGGCTTGCGAAGCCTTAAGAAATATAAAGGTTGCCTGATTTCATCACACTTCTGGAGATCAAGGTTGGCCCCACCCACACAGCTCTTTCCTCTAGAACCTCTTCACCACCTCTGGTGAGAGGGCCATTTTCCTTCTTCTTGAAACCCTTCAGGATCAGAGTCTTTACAACTTGTTTATGCAGCTCTTTATAGTGATGTGATCCATTGTTGGTTAATAAATATTTATAAAGCATGTCGTGTATGACAAAGCCCATATTTAAGCTCTACAGTTTCGAAGAACAAAGAAATATGATCACTTTTTTCAAACAGCTTAGAGTCTCACTGGAGGGCACGGGAGGGGCGTGCCATATGTGTATTCATAAACACAAGCTATTTCAGGTGTGTAAGGTACCAGGCGTGGAAAGGGAGAATGGAGGAAAGCCTCCCTGGCCTGCAGCTAGTCTTGGGCGGCAGTAAGAAAAGTCTTCACAACTTGAATCATTAAAGAAAAAGAAAAGTAGATGTGTTATATGGCAAACAACAAGGGTTCTAGCGCCTCACATGCAGACACTGAACCCTGCTGGAACCTTGGTCTTGGCCTTCCCAGTCTCCAAAACTAAGAGACAATAAGTTTCTTAAAGACACCCAGTCTATGATATCTTGTTATGGTAGCCTGAGGAAACTCAAGATAAGGTATGTCAGTATTCTTGATGCTACTCTTACAACTTTCCTGTAAATTTGAAATTATCATAGATTAAAACTCTTAAAAATTGTCCCTAAAATGATAAGAGGAATTTTTTAAAAGATACATATATTTTATTAAATATTATATTTTAGTTTAAAACATACAAATATAGATCTAATACTAACGTGTTCAGAAGTCAGAACTCTTATACAACATGGTTCCTCTACCTACAAGCTCCACACTGTGGGCTGTTTTAGATTCAGGATTTGCCTCAACATAACATAAAAATGTATCTGAAACACAGCACAAGAAATTCTGGCTCTGTACTTGTCTCCCACCGCCCCTTTTTCATATTTACCTTCATCAATTTTTCTGATATAGTATATGTGATTTACACAACATTCATAATGTCTTTTTTCAACAGATTTCCAAACCAGTTGTACGTCATCTTTCTAAAAAGAAAAGTCACTGGAACTCTGATTTGTCAAAAATCATCTAATAAACTACATTCTTTATTTAAAAAGAAAAAAATGTCTGCTTTTCCCCAGAGACAATGGGAAGTTCAATTAAGATCTTTTACACTAGAGAACATGATCGGATTTGCATTTGTAATATTCTCAGAATGTTTGTTCATTCCAACCAACACTTGCTCATTCTAATTTAAGCTAATTTCTTCATGTTCAGTTTTTCGTGTATATAAAGAAACCATGTCATAAAAATGTGACATGAAATTAGTTATCAAGTGTGTGCATTTCAACCTTCTGCAGCCTTAATTGTACGACCTTCCCCCAAAGGACCCATTTTCCATTCCTTTAATTATCATGGGAGTTCATCTCTAAATCTTCACACACTTCTCTATCTCCTTGATGAATTGTAGTGACCAAAACTTAATAATGGCATGCACTGTAACATTAAAAAAAAAACCATTTTTTAATGACATTACTAGTCAGATGTGACAATACTAGAAGCCCTTCTTTAATAGCTAACACCCCATTATTTCCTCAGCCCTTTAAATTATACAATTAGAATAATGCTTGCCTAGATTATTATTGAGAACACTATTTGTGAAACTGAGATAGATTGGGTCATTCAACACACAATCACCCCAACAATTCCCCTTTGTTACCGTTTGTCATCTTATCAAGGGACAAAATTCATTTATTCTGACAAGATCTGACTGTTGCTTTCCCATACTTTGTTATTTCAGGTAATTGCATAGTGATAACACATAGATTAGACTAGTGTTTCTTTATGTGTTGATGTCAACTGACAGTGTATATAATTCTAGTCAAATTTTACTGAGATGCTAAATATTATACAAGACTTTGGGATTAAGGATAAGGTAAGGGTCTTTCCTTTAAGTAATTCCAGTTGATAGAAAAAAAATGAAGAAAGTACTATGAGAACGTGGTAGAGAAAGAGAGTAACCAAGTCTTGGGAGGAGGGTAGAGATCTGACACACCTTCAGAAAAGAGGTAGTTTGAGATACTGAAGAATGAGCAAGGTCTTATTACACAGAAGAGAAAGGAACTGTAGGTGTGCAGAAGTCAGGGTGAGTATGTTCAGAAGAGGACAAAAGTGTAGTGGTCGAGCCTGGCTGAACACTTTTAACATCCTCGGATGCCCAGCACCCCCCCAAGGCCCCCCCCAAGGGGCAGTCAGGAGGGGAAACAGAGCTTTGACAGCCTTGGAAACTCTCCAGGTGGGGCTAGGGCACACAACTAATGGGAGGCAGCAGGGAACAGCAGGAAAGATCTAGAAACTCAGGGTAGGGCCCAGCTATGAAGTGGCCCAGCACCATGCAGGAGTTTGGTCTTTATCCTGCAGAGAGAAGTGCTCCAGAGTCTTGCAGAACAACAGGAAGAGGGAGAACCCCCCTCCCCCGGGACTGAATGTATGTCACTATAAAGAACTGAAGTGGAGAGGTTAGTTTTGGGGCTCCTGGTATAGGCAGGTGCAAAGGGCCCAGGCTGAGTGAATCTGAGATACAGGAGCAGATTCAGATTGAGACCAAGAATGCACTCAGACACCATGAAGAGACATGGGTTCTGTTTTCTGGAATGTTGAACTTGAGCTACACATAAAACTCTCATTGGAAATACTCACTAGACAATTACAAATAGCCCTAAGGTTGTTTTACTTGTTTTCAAGAGATAGTGAATTACTGGGGCTCTTATTAGGAAAAAAGCATTCGTACAAGGTTGGTAACACTGCGTAACTCCTGAATACTTCATTCACACAGAAAGGTGCCCAACTAGAGTTGCACAACATGGTGGCCTTGGGCTCAGACCAAGGGATGGAATAATCCCATCATACCACTGAATTACTGTTCA